AAATAAAAACCGTATAGCCATACAAAGGAGTGGTCCTCCATGTGTAATTTTATTTCATAGGCTGTAGTACCGATTCCGAACTTAAAATAGGAAATTAGAAACAATTCGGGTGAACCATAAAGAACGAATAAAGGGAGGTACTTTTGGTCTAAAATGAATATTTCGATAAGTTACAAACGAAATGACAAACTTAATATACCCTCCATACTAGGTATGGTTGAGGGTATAAAAAACAATTATAAATAATTATTAGATGATTTTTTTTTTTTTCAATAAAACCAAATAATTCAAATTGCTCCCCAAAGGGTTAACCACTTAGCAGCGACATTCGGAATTACCGAAGATCATTGATATCTAAATACATGCCAAAATACAAACCAACCAACTCATTTATTAAAATTTTAAAATTCACAACAACAACAAAACCAAATAAATTATTTTTTGTTTGCTGTTCAACAAAAAAAATCATGACAATAATGTTTGACTGACGAATATAACACGAATGGAATGGAAGGAGGGTAGACAAAAACGAAATATTGAGTATGGTCAGTGTTTCACACCGAGTTGTCTTGAAGTATGAACTGACTCGGCCATTTGAATTGATTAGCTCTCAAAATGCTAATTGATTTCTACGAAAATTATTCTAAATGATTTTTTTTTTCAGTTTCTGTTTCTCGTGAATTAAAAATAGCCCAAAAAACTCAAACCAGTTGATTGATGTGCCAAAAGTGTGCCAAAATGGTTTGATATTTATATTTAGTATTTATTTTGATTCGTGGGAATTTCTCGACTGGTTCTTTGAACTCGCTAAGGTTATTGAAAGCGAAATCAAAGTTGAACATAAAAACCCAATAGATTTGGAAATTTGAAATTAGAAAAAAAATCGAAGTTCTTGGTATTATGTCTTCGAACAGTTCTAACCCTTTGATAATTTATTGCCGAACTACTGTTAATTAGTTTATGTATTTTGTTGATGGAGACAACCTTCAGGCACGTCTCTTTTAAATACACCAACGTATTCCCTATTATTGGAAATGTAAACAAAAATCGAATGACACGGAGTTTGGGAATCATTATTTTCATTTAATATACACTGCACGCACTCGAATTTACAACGTGAACAACATTTTCTTATCCAGCTCTGAGAGACGCCATACAATTTTTAAATTTTATTAAAAAGTAATTGACAACAACAATGATATGCAGTGCTTTGCCAAAACTACCATAAAAAGCAATGAATCATCCATCGTTTGGGGGTACATAAAAATGATGGTCTATTTTTGGTCCACTTTAATTATAAATAAAACGAAAGACAATTTCGAATTCAAGGTCAGAGTAAAATTTGGTTAACTTTTTTAATAATCTGATTAACACCGCTTAATTGCTGGGAGACGAGTAGCAAATCAAGACTACAGAGAGGGCTGGACAAACAGACAGACAAATGTTTGGCTGGGCTATTTTATCTTTAGGGAATGCCGAAAGTAGTCGATTAAAATGTTTAAAAAAATATTTGAAAAGTTTATAAAATTTGCATAAAATCGTGTAGGTGTGAGTCAAACAGCAATATTTAAAAGGCTCTTTTAATTTAAGTAAAAATCATACACATTTATAAAAATACATTTTTTATACAAATCAATGAGCGTTGAGAGTTCATAATCAAATACTATTTAAAAATTCACGATTATAGCTTTGAAACCCGTCATTAAAAGTTATTAAAAACTCACGACTTTTCCCTGATAGATTCGAAAATTTGTATTTGGGAACTCAGATTTATAGTTGTAATAAATACAGGGTTGCCCATATTCGACGGACCCATCTGGCAACGCCATAACTTTTGACAGCGATGTCACATCGCTTAATGACCTACCGCGTTTGAAGCGTCAGTCCAAGCAGATTTTTACCAAATGTGAGAAGTGCGCCTTCTAAGAACACCATTAAGCGTTTATACGAAAAATTTTCGACTGGTAAGGCTCTTTCTAATCCGAAGAGGCCATATAAAAGTCGACCGAGGCGATCGGCCGAGAATATCGCTGCCGTACGAGCCAGTGTTGAGAGGTCCCCAAGAACATCCCAAAAACGCCGTTCTCAGCAGTTGGGCATGGCTCGGTCCACTTTACAACAGATTATTCGCATTGATTTTCATTTGTTCCCGTACAAAATTCAATTGACGCAAAGAGTGTTGCCTGCGGACAAGCCTCGTCGATTGGAATGGGCCCAAAAAAAACATGGGTCCGTCGAATATGGGCAACCCTGTAGTCCAACAAAATATATCCCTGAAATCCTAGGATTACCTCACTAATATATTCGGAAACCATGATTACAGCTATGACAGCTCCTTAAAAGGCCGCCTTTATAAGCCAAATGTTACATTTCTGATAGTCTACAATGTCCTTAAAATCCAGGATAATAGCTCTGCTTATTCTTATAAATATTCTTTCAGCACTGACAGTTTCTTGTAGAGTGGCCCAAGTTCATAGTCTTGAGTCTGATAGTTCCTTTAAATAATACCCTCAAAACGGAGGTTTTAAAAAAATATTTTTTATAGAACCAGTGTCTATTGGTCTATGAACAAATATTTTTAAAAATCCATTGTCTTTTGGTCTATGAAAAAATATTTAAAACAATCTACGTTTTTGGTCTGTGGAAAAAATATTCTTTTTAAAAATCCACGTCTTTTTTTTTCTATGTAAAAATAGTTTTAAGAAAATTCACGTTTTTTCTATCGAAAAACAATTTTTTAAAAATCCACGTCCTTTTTTTCTATGGAAACATAGTTTTAAGAAAATTCACGTTTTTTTTTCTATCGAAAAATTTTTTTTTAAAAATACACGTTCTTTTTTTTCTATGGAAAAATATTTTTAAGAAAAATCTCGTTTTTTCTATAGAAAAACAATTTTTTGAAAATCCACGTTCTTTTTTTCTATGGAAAAACTATTTTTTTTAAATCCACGTCCTTGTTTCCATGGAAAAAAAGTTTTAAGAAAAATCCACATTTTTTATCGAAAAATATTTTTCAGAAAATCAACTTTTTTCTATGGAAAAAACATTTTTTTTAAAATCCACGTTCTTTTTTTTTTCTATGGAAAAATAGTTTTAAGAAAAATTCACGTTTTTTCTATCGAAAAATATTTTTCAGAAAATCAACTTTTTTCTGTGGAAAAATAGTTTTGAAAAAATTAAGTTTTTTTCTATCGAAAAATATTTTTCAGAAAATCCAATTTTTTTTCTATGGAAAAACATTTTTTTTTAAATCCACGTTCTTTTTTTTTCTATGGAAAAATAGTTTTGAAAAAATTAAGTTTTTTATATCGAAAAATATTTTTCAGAAAATCCAATTTTTTTTCTATGGAAAAAACTATTTTCCTCCTTGTTTCCATGGAAAAAAAGTTTTAAGAAAAATCCACGTTTTTTCTATCGAAAAATATTTTTCAGAAAATCAACTTTTTTTCTATGGAAAAAACATTTTTTTAAAAATCCACGTTCTTTTTTTTCTATGGAAAAATAGTTTTAAAAAAATTACGTTTTTCCTATCGAAAAATATTTTTGAGAAAATCCATTTTTTTCTATGGGAAAAACAATTTTTTAAAAATCCACGTATTTTTTGTTCTATGGAAAAATAGTTTTAAGAAAAATCCACGTTTTTTCTATTGAAAAATATTTTTCAGAAATTGCACTTTTTTCTATGCAAAAAAAAATATTTTTTTAAAAATCCACCTCTTTGTTTTTATGGAAAAATATTTTTAAGAAAATCCACCTCTTTGTTTTTATGAAAAAATATTTTTAAGAAAATCCACGTTTTGTTTATCGAAAAATATTTTTTAGAAAATCCAGTATTTTCTATGGAAAAAAATATTTTTAAGAAAATCCAATTTTTTTTAAGAAAAAAATATTTTTAAGAAAATCTACGGGTTTTGGTTTATGATTTTTTTTTTTTGAATCCACGGGTTTTGGTATATATTTTTTTTTTTTTTTCAAAATCCACGTCCTTTTTTATGAATTATTTTGAAAATCCAAGGACGTGGATTTTATGGAAAAAATATTTTTTAAAAATTCATGTCCTTTTTCGAAAAAATGTTTTAAAGAAAATCGACGTACTTTTTCTATGGAAAAAATATTTTTTGTGAAAAAAATATTTTTAAAAAATTCACGCTTTTTGGTTTAGGCCCGCTCCTTATGGTATCTTTCCCAAAAAGACTCAGCATTTGGAATTAATCTAACTCTTTTAAAATGATGAATAATTCAACGATGCTTCTTCTAAATTCGCACAATGCTATGCATTCAGTAAGGAATGGTATCTTCCCCGCAAACGGGCAATAGGGCATATTTATGGTACAATATTTATGGTACAACTCACAAAAGGTACAAATTGTGGGTTTTTGGACCCTAAAAATGTTAAAAAAAAAATCCTCGCTGATGGCTTTAATAGTCAATTAGTTTTTATATTAGTTCAATATTTATTGAAGACTGCCAAGGGCCATAATGAGTCATAAAATCAATATATTGTTTTCATTTGTAACTCTTAATTAATAATTCATACTGCGAATCTCCACCGATTTGTCCTCAAATAAATAAAATAATGAATTCAAAAATCGAAGAACAACTAAAGAAAAACCCTACCCTACTGCGTCCTCCAATTATTCGTAGAAATGTGTACTAGAGCTGAGACTGAAATAATATTTGTCACTTCTGTTAATGTGAGTAGATTTAATTTGGCCAAAACTTATTGACGTCACGACACGACTCAGGCCACACAAAGCTTTAAGAGTAAACCAAGCCAAATGCGACAAAGTTAAGTTTTAGTTCAAAAAAATTTCGTGTATTGAGATTTGATTTTGGGAGATTTTCTCAAAAATCCAAGCAGAGACACTGCTGACTGTTTGGGCTAGGTGATCTTGCGTATAAGCGAGCAGATTATACCAGCTGTTTTGTCTGTTCATGCTAGTTTTGTTTTTAGTATAAAAAGAAGCGGCTCTGGCCAATAGAGCACAGTCAACGTTAAGACAACAAACGAAGTGGATCTCCAGTAAAACAGGGAACCACTACAACGACAAGAAGGATATTTATTTAAATTACAAAACTCCCCACAACCAAATTTTATTACATAAGGATTACAAACGACAATAAACAAAAACATAAAGTGAGTTTACCAAAAACAACAAAAGAGCAAAAAATAATAAAAAAAAGGTGAAAAACAAGTAATGTTTGATTATGAAATAACGCAGACCTTGGATTCGAAATGACAAAACAGGCAAACATACACACACAAAAGATGTGAAATAATAATAATAATAGCACTAACCGAAAGTGAATGAAGAAGTAAATGCGGCAAGAAAAGTAGTGAAGAAAAAAATTACAAGCCATAAAAAATTGCAGTGTGCAAAAAAACAAAATGAAATGAAAGACAAAACGAACAATTATCCATTTCATGGTGAATTGAAAATGGTGTGCGAAGAGTATTTCAAATATTTGCTTCCCAAAAAAAAAACTTATGATTTGGTGCAAAATGTGTAATTTCCTTGGCACATTACATTACTTTAATGATTAGTAAAAAATGTGAAATGGCAATAATTTCATGTATTGAAGTAATTCACATTTTGATTATTGTGGAATTTTTTTTTGAAATTTTAAAACCGTTATCAAAGTTTTTAAAGCGAAATTAAACTATGTTGCCACCCTAATTTCCAAAATAGGCATAAAAGATTCACTGTGAGAATATTTTCGTATAATTTTGAATCATAAAATTTCAAAACGGATTTGAAATAAAATTAATCTATAAAACAATACTATAGAGATTTAATCTGAGAGCTTTTATATTTGAATCTGTTCTCTAAATGGAACGGTCTGAACTTAATTCGAGTTATCAGTTACGGTTTCAAAAATTCCTCCCCCGCTCTTAAGCTTGTTGAAGAAAAACCTCCCATAGGAATCAATTTATTTTAAAAATCGCTTAATGCTTCAAGTCTCCTTTCTACTTTTTTATTACAAAAATCTAATTCAAATCCCTGTTGAACATAATATTTTTTATAGTAAACCTTTTCTAATTCGAAAACACGGGTGTTTTGCTCAAGTGAATACTTTATTCCCCGAAAGGAACGCCCAGAACTAGATCCATCTCCCTCATTCATTGGTTGTGGCTTCGTCGGCTCATCTTGTTCCTTTGGTTTAATGTTTATTTATTAAACAAAAATACCTTCAACCGATAGGTTTTGAACATCAGATAGGAATTCGATTTTTACAACAAGCTTTGAATGTTTTGAAATTTCGTTCAACGTTTTTGGAAAAAAAGTTCCATTAGGAGGCCTTTCTTTAAAAATATTACTGAGTATTTATGAGGACTCTGTTTGTAGCTATTATAATTAAAACTATTCTCCAAAGGGATCGGTCAGAACCAGGTCCATCTCTCTCATTCATGAGATCCTATTATTCTGATGCCCTTAACCCATCTATTCCTATGTCTAATATAGTCCTTTCTACATGAAGTTACTTTAAGTTGAACTAACCTTTAACTAAAAACTAAATGAACTAAAAGAAAGATCAACATTATAGAACTATAGGAAGTGTCTAACCAATAAAAACTATGCTGATATTGAGACAAAAATAGGATTAAGGAACAGACAAGTAGAATGTAGAGGATACATGAAAGACACGAAAAATATCGATGAACTTATTGGCCAACTTTTGTGTTGCCCAGTTCATATCCAACTCAATTTTATTGAACTATTCACTAACAGGAGTCACTGAACTAGGTTCGTCAAAATATTTCTCATTTTTCCATATTAGGCGCAAGAACAACGACTAGTGTTTTAGAACATTTTTGTCGGGATTTCAAAAATTCTTTCGGTGTAACAACCTTAAATGCAAATATTAGATTCCACGAAGATTTTCCTTATATCATTTAGAGTAAAAAATAATACATTTATGGGCATTTCATGAAGCGCTTCCTTGTTTGGACAATATTTCGACTCAATAACTTTAAATGCAAATATGTTAAATATTCAATCAACTGTTTAAATTTCGGCTAGATCTTTTTCCAAAAATTCTGTAAAGAAGAAAGAAAGAAATGTTTTAATTAAATTGTAATACCACAAGAAACGGTTAGTTTAAATAAATGTTCTTCAAAATTTCGAACAACACAATTTAATCTAGTCTGCAACCTTTTCTTTGAAATGGAAAGAATCAACGTGCATTTCCTCGATGTCATTAACCACATATTAATGGTCAACATTATTAGTATTCCACAACGCATTTCCTGTAAAATTCATAAATTTCCTTTACAATTTTCCCTTTTTTTATTTAATTTGTGAAAAAATTGTTGTAAACAAATGCAAATTAGGGAAAATCAAACAAAAACGCAATAGTTTTCCAAATCCCCAGAATTACCCACTAAGAAAATTTACATAAAATGCAACATTGCAAGGAAACAATGGCATGTAGAGGAATACATAACGCAAAAAAATAACGTCATGCAATGGAGATATATATATTTGTACGTTCGCAAAGCCATGGATGATGGGCAAGGCAGACATCCGGTTTCGCTGGAGACTTACAACAGAGTTTTGCAATGATCATGAGCCGCCAACGCTTCAACTTTTTTTTGCATAACATTTTGTGCTCCAGAAATAAAACAATTACCTGAGAAGGGAAGGGGGAAAATTATACAGCCCCCGCACATCAAGCGTGTTAAAGCATTTCATTTTCGGGGAGATAAAACTGCTTTAAGTTATGTCATGCATACCAAAAAAGAAATACATTTCTTTTCAAAAAGTCGACAGGGTATGGAGGGGAAATTTACAACTTCCTCTTAGCTCCAGCTGGCAAGCTTCAACAGCTTGATATAAACTTTAATTTTACATTAACTTAATTGAATTGCAAAACCACTTTGCAAATAAGCTCAAAATTGTCTCAGGGAAGACTACCACAAAAGTTGCTGCTTAAAGTAAATTACTTAATAAAACACGCTTGAAATGTTTTATTTCTTTTTTCAATTTAGATGCTCCAATATTATCTGAGAAAAATAATCAAATATTGCTTAACCATTTGCGCCAGCGCACTCAGTCATCGGACGGCTTCATGGCTATTTACCATGGCTGGAGATGATATACCGAGATTGTTTAGCAAGCAAGCGGTAAGCCATGAATGAGTTGTTGAGAGAGTGAGTGAGCGAGCATTTTCAACAACAACATTACCGGCCTCAAGCTAATGACCTTAAAATGAAAGTAAAAGTAACAAAATTAGCCACGCTCTGGCGTTTCGTTGAGTCAGTCTCCAGAAAATCAAATCAAAACAAGTTTTACCAACAGCCGCATTGTTAATAATATTGGGTGCCACTCTTCGCTGCGCTTTGCCGCTGGCCTAGACTTCAACGCCCGGTATGGGGTTTGTTTTGAAATGTTGGTAGAAATGCCGCAGAGCTTGAAAAAGTAGCACAATGACCACTTAAGTATTAGGGATCGAGGCCAAATTTGTTTGTTTCGAATCGGCGCGAAACGACGATTACTTAATATTCATAACCATTCACATTTATCACCATCCCAAATTGTTATTTTGAAGGTTAATAATTTGTTATTGTTGTTTGTCTTTCTTTTCTTCTTCGTTGTAGACATGAGAGTAACACAGCAGTGGGCCGTATTGGCCGCCGTTTTATTGGCCATATGTTCGGTGCAAGCCGAAGAACCCTCCTGGTCCACGGACAGCTGGTCGGTGAAGGAATCAATGCTGGCTCGTAGATCCGCCGATGCTGAAGCTGCCAAACAGGAAGATGTCCAAGGTCGCAACTACGCCGTTCATGAACAAATCTACAGCAACGAAACCGAGGTCAATGAATTGGTTGAACAACTCATCACTTCCCGACGTGAGGGTAGAATTTTGAATGACTACGATCAGGTCTATGCTGATGGTAATGTTGATCAGGCCTTGATGCAGGGTGATGATATGCAGGCCCGCAATCTGGTGCGTGATAAGTTGTGTTCTTTGGGTCTGATGAGCTGTGAGACCGAGGGCAAACGTCAATACTATTCGACCATTTATGCCCAGGGACCACCACCACCCAATAAATTCGGTGGCGGACCTTATGGACCAGCCAAACCCATGCCACCACCTGGATTCTACAATGGTCGTCCTCCCATGGGACCTCCTCCATCATCGGTTAACTCTTTTGGTCCACCACGCAAGGTTGGCTATGAATCATCTTACAAACCTGGTTACAGACCCTCTGGCCCAGGAGGCAACTACAATGGTCCCTATTTGGAGTCTCCACCACCCTCGGCCATTGATGGTTCCGGTTTGACTACCTTCAACAAACCCCCACCCGGTGCCATAATTTACGGTAGCAAACCTCCAGGTCCTGTTTACAGCGGTAATGGCGCTAGCAACAAGATCCCTCCTTATGCTTTTGAAAATCCCGAAAAGATTCATGCCGCTGGTTCCCAACAAACCAATTTCTATAGTCACCAATCATCGGCCTCTGCTTCCCAATCCTCTAGCACCAAGGTTGTTGTGGGCGGTACTGTTGCCAATGCCGTCTCAGCCAGTGCTGCCGGTCTCCAGCAACATGTCCATCATCATTTCCATCATGTTGATGGTGGCGATTCTGCAAAGGTACCCACCGTGCCCGTTCCCTTGGGTAATGGCCAAACCATAAATACTGATTTCTCTGCCTTGGCCCAATCCTCCACAGCCTTCAATCCCCAAACTTCGGCCTCCTTTGGTGGACAAAGTCAAAATTCCTACAATGCCGGATTCAATGCTGCTTCCCAGGGTGGCCTTTTGTCTCAGACTTCCAATGGTTTCAAACCCAACGGTTTGGGTTCCTTTGGTGCTGGTTCATCGGCCGGAGGTGCTGGCTCAAATGGTTATGGATCAACAGGATTTGGTTCTTCTGGTTCTAACTTTAACTCGGGCAGCAAATTTGCTTCCGGAACTACTGGTTTTGGTTCCAGCAATGCAGGTTATGCCTCGGGTTCCAGCAATGCTGGATATGGCTCTGGTTCCAGCTCTAGCTCCAGTTATCACAGTCAAAATCCCAGCTACTACAAAAAGGAGTTGCAAAACTTCGGCGGCATCCAAGCTTCATCCTCGAACAATTTCAACAGCCTTACCTCGGGTTATGACCAATCTTCTTACAACAACGGTGCAGGCTATGACACATCTCGCAACCAATATGTCGACTGCCAATGTGTTCCCTTCAACCAGTGCCCAGCTGCTGACCGTATTGGCCGCAAGGAAGATTTGATTTTGGCCATTGATCCCCGTAATTTGGGTAAGGATATTGAGGCTTTGAGTGATGAGGCCGCAGCCAACATCACCACCAATGCCATGCCTGAAAAGAAAGAAGACTCAGCTACCGAAGAGAAGAAGCACGAAGAGGAGGGTGAAAAGAAACGTAGCAAACGTGAAGCAGAAGCAGCCAAGGATAAGCAAGATGAAGCTGCCGATTTGCCATTAGATGCTGAAGGGGTAAGTAGTTCATTACTTTGGCTTTGCAAATTTCTTAAAATTTTGGTACCGTTTTAACCTGCCCGCCTCCAAGCAAAAAATTAAACACTTAATTCCTAATATTATCCTAAGCAAACAGTTTCTAATGTTGCACACTACGCTGCCCCTTCGTAAACATATGTCAAGTTACCCAGGAGGAAGTTTAGAAGATTGAAGGCCATATCAGCAGAAAACACCTTGATCAGGGATGTCCCATGTTCGCTGCGTAAGAGATTAGTTTATGAGCGGTGGCGTATGTGCTTGGCGTAACTAATACCAACTAAAACAACAACTACAACAAGCCATGTATGTTAACCGCACAATTCCCAGAGCTGAGCTCGCAAAGAACGCACGCACCAAACACCAACGCCTCCCTAATGTGTCAACATGTCCCCATGAACATGTTCCTAATTCGCTCTCTTTTTCTCTGCTGTGGTGCCTAACAAATCTCTTAACTTCCTTCCCCTCCATCATAGCGCATCTTTGACAATCAAGGAGCCATAGCAGCCATTCAATTGGTCCAACGTAAAATCTTACCCACCTATGGTGTCTCATTCGGCCTACCCTATCCCAATAATCCGGCGGGTTATCCGTCGAATGTTTTGGGTGATCATTATCCAGCTCAAAATCCCTTCTTTGGAGCCATAGGTCCGAATGGCCTGAATCTGGGTTTGATACATGTCAATCCTCTGGTTTCGGTGCAGGTGCAAAAAACCGAATTTGGTGAAAAAGTTGTCAAACCTTTGGTCAATCTTCATGTCACACCCAATTTGAATATTTTCTCAAAGATTGGCAGTCTTTTGAAACCCAAAGAGACTTTGATTGAAAATCATCACTATCATCATCATGAGCATTATACAGGCTTCGAACACGATCATCATCATCATGAGCATCATCCGGAAATTATAACCGGACCTGGTCCCATATATTCTGAGTATAAACCTGAAATAATAACAGGTCATGGAAGTGTGCATCCCTATGCAACGGACTTCAAACATTATGAGGTGGAAACGTATCCAAGCAAACCGATATTTGAATACCACAGTGGACCACAAATTGTATCACCAGAGGTGCACCCTATTCCAAGTCCGATACATGATCATCCGCCACATCATCATCATCATGACCACTATCCGGAACATTTTGGTCAACATCATCAGGAACATTTTGAAAATCACGATCATCAGCAACATTTTGTGGACAATCCCCAGCAACAAGTTGAGGAACATCCTCCTCAACATGTTGAAGAGCAGTATCCGCTACATGTTGAAGAACATCACCCGCATCATGTTAAAGAACATCCTGCACATCATGTTGTAGAACACCATCAGCAACATGTTGAGCATCATTTTCAGCATCATGTGGAGCAACATTCCAGTCATAATTCATATCAATCATTTTCCTCATCGTTTCCAGCCAGTGGAACTGGCAATGGCAACCATGCCACCGGTCCTTCATATCCACCCAGTGGTACAGGAAGTGGTGGCGATGGTGCTGGCAATTATCCCACTGGTCCATCTTATCCTCCCAGTGGTAATAGTGGCTTTGGAAATTCCAACTCCTATCCACCAGATCAAGGCTATAACACTGGTTATGGTGGTTCGGCAGCTGGAGGAAGCGAGATTATTTATGATCGCAACTCAAATGGCAATCAGTCCCTAACTTTTGGACAATCTCAAAGAAATCGCAAAGGAAAGGGTTTACAAATCCATAACATACCCACCCAAGCTCCTGGCACGGCAGAGGGTAGTTCATATGTTACATTTCCCAAAGATCGTCGTCGGCGTAGTGTGCAAGATCATGAAGAAACTCTTGATAGGAAAAGTAGTGTTATGGCCGATACTGCCAAATTACAAGAGGTAGTGACGAAGCGGTCCAATTCCAAAATGTCCCTACAAATATTCCAAAATTATTTTCCTATTTTCCATCGACTAATTTTTTTTAATCTCTCTTTTTCCAATAGCGTGCCTACTATGGTAACCGTCCCGTTGAGAAGACCTGCCGTGTAAATGAAGTCTGCTGCCGCCGCCCCTTGCGCCCTGTACCACCCCCACAACAATTTGGACGCTGTGGTGTACGCAATGCTGCTGGCATTACTGGTCGCATTAAGAACCCCGTCTATGTTGATGGTGACAGTGAATTCGGTGAATATCCCTGGCATGTGGCCATCTTGAAAAAGGATCCCAAAGAATCGATTTATGCCTGTGGTGCCACGCTCATTGATGCCCAACATGTGATTACAGCTGCCCATTGTATTAAGGCGTAAGTTTTGGCAGTATAACCTCAATTTTTTCGTCATAGCTAACTAGTACATTTCTTCCCTCTCGTTACAGTCAAAATGGCTTCGATTTGAGAGCCCGTCTGGGTGAATGGGATGTCAACCATGATGTTGAGTTCTTCCCCTACATTGAACGCGACGTTGTCTCCGTACACATCCATCCTGAATACTATGCCGGTACCTTGGACAACGATTTGGCTGTGTTGAAATTGGATAGCCCTGTTGATTTTAGCAAAAATCCTCACATCAGCCCCGCCTGTTTGCCCGACAAATACTCCGACTTCACCGGTGCCCGTTGCTGGACCACGGGCTGGGGCAAGGATGCCTTCGGTGAACACGGCAAATACCAAAACATTCTCAAAGAAGTCGATGTGCCAATTCTCTCCCATCACCAGTGTGAAAGCCAGCTGCGTCAAACCCGTCTCGGCTATAGCTACAAACTCAATCCCGGTTTCTTGTGTGCCGGCGGTGAGGAGGGCAAAGATGCCTGCAAAGGTGATGGTGGCGGCCCCTTGGTCTGTGAACGTCAAGGCATCTGGCAAGTTGCCGGTGTGGTGTCCTGGGGTATTGGCTGTGGCCAGGCTAATGTTCCTGGTGTCTATGTTAAGGTTTCCCACTACTTGGACTGGATCCGTCAAATCACTCAATACTATAAATGATTGGAAGCCACACCGCCAGTGACCACGACTCGAAGATGTTGCCAATCGCGGGACATATTTGAGTTTCACTTTTAAATCGCCATCAAATTTTCAATGTCTGTCTTTTTTTACGAGCTTTTAATTTATTTTGTTAGTGTTGTAAGCCGATAACTGACGTGCTCTCAGCTTTATGTATTTATTGTTTTTTGTTTTAATCCTTATTGTTTGTTGTTTTTTTTTTTTTTTTTTTTTTTGTATTATTTTTTATTGTCATTTGAGATTGTTGCGTGAAAACGCCGTTGATCACGTAAACATAGAAACAAAAACTATTTAATTTTTTTATATATGTATTTAATTTATTTTTTGTAATGAATGATTATTTAAATAAAGTGAATTTTTATTTATAAATAAAATGGCAACCTATATTTATTTTAGAAGAATTTCCAAATAATAGGGAGAGTTTAACAAAATCGCTGGAGTGTTAAATTAATAAAACTAACGCAAACAAATTTTAGCAGGAAAAAAACAACTTTTATTTGAAAATATAAAAATAATTATTTTTAATTTTATGAGAGTTGCCAGGAGTGGTAAAAATTTTGAAATATGCGATTATACAAGAAAATCCATATTTTGATTCGCATGTAATTATTATAACTATTCAAAATTCTTGCCCTTTATGAGAAAGGTAACAGAGGGAATGTCCCGTTCCAGATCTTGTGTTGGTAAATATATTGGAATGTGATAAGTTTAAAAAGAATACGATGGTTATTTCGCATTTTATGAGTGTTATGGCTATTCTAAATGTTAGCCAGATTGGGGGGGGGGATGGCGGCGCGATTCATCCAGCCATTTGGCTGATGATATGAAGATGGAAGATTACGAATGTTTTGAAAAAAGATCAATCAAATTTTTTAAAAAAAAAAGAGAGTTTAGAGAAAAAGTTTTACTGTGCATTACACTAAACATCCAAGAAAACGCATTCCTAAAAAATTCAGGATTATAACTAAGATATTCCATAAATAATATTCCTAACAAATCGACGATTCCATATCTTATAAAATTTTCTCAAATTATTCACATTTGAATTTTGAAAATAAAAAAAATTGATTTCTATATCGTTCTATGCCTACGCAATATATTCGTTCGACTTTCTGCAAATTTTCGGATATTGCTCTTTTTTCTATTGCTGTCAATTTGACTGCTGACATACGTTAGAAAATTGCTTCTGTCGTTTATGGATTTAGTCCATATCCTGAACCTATTGTCCTTCTATATATTGACCAGCATCTCAAAGCTTTGTTTACTCTTTCATTTCCATTTAAGTTTACTCCTGGATGTTTCCATTTCCTGGAGATATTTTTTATCTTATATAGGAAAACTGGTTCATATGAGTGTCCAGCTTATTTTGTATATATATTTCGGGTTAATTGTGCCCCAAATGGCCAATATCAATCCTAATGACCTGAATTTTGGCACATCAGACTGAATTCAGTCTAGAAACAAGTACATTAAATTTAATGATAATGATAGCTATAGCTATAGCTCCAATAATGTTTTTCTTTTTATTCGACCTTTTTATATTTTAATGAAACAAGTGTTGTTCGAGCTTGAGGTCCAATATATATGTTTTACCCCACAAGTATGATATTTGGTACCAGGTACCCAGAAATACTTCTGACAAATAATATCAAGATCGCTTAAGATTTCAATATAGCTCCCATATATAGGTTTATCCGTTTTCAAGTTTATTGTGCACCAAATGACCAATATCAGTTCAAATGACCTACATTTTCGCACATCCGACCGAACTCAGTCTAGAAGCAAGTACACCAAGTTTGGTGAAGATCGGTTCAGATATAGCTATATCTCCAATATATATGTTTCATACGATTTTGTGTTTAAGTCCCTCACATTCGTAATATGCACTCCAAAAGAACGATATTTTGTACCAGATATCAGATACAGTCCACAAATACTTCTGACAAATTCTATCAAGATCGATTCAGATTTCGATAAAGCTCCCATACATAGCTTTATTCGATTTCAGGTTTATTGTGCACCATAGGTATAATATCAGCTCAAATGGGATAGGTTTTTGGGAAAATCGATTAAAATATAGCTATAGTTCCGATACGTATGTTTCAATGTAAGTATAATCATATCAAGAGACAAAATGGATCTTAATTTTCTGTTAAAGTTATTAAAAAATTTCTTTTTTTTTAAGAATAAAGACAATTATCTATCTGGTTGGTTTGGATAGTCCTCAAAAAATATGTATAAGAAGTCCTGATTGTAAGTCAAATAAATTCTTTAAATAAAATAAATGGTGAAAACTATTCTCAAAATCCACGTTTCCATCTTAAAAAAAGTAAAAAAGCAGCTAAGTTCGGCCGGTTTAATACCCTCCACCATTTGGAAGGAACTTGAAAAAAATTAAAAAAAAAAACTTGAAGAAGTGGACCTGCTTACAAAATTTTGTCATGGGCTGCAGTACCCATTACGAACTTCAAATACCAAATTTGAAACTATCCCGATAAATAATGTCACTAAAATAATGAAAATATCGGGAGGTACCGTTATGTAGGGGCTATACGAAGATGTGGACCTGCATACGAATTATTTTCCCATATGTTGTAGTAACCATTATCATCTCCCAATACGAAATTTGAAAAGATTCCGGTGAATAATGTTGATGAAATTATCAAAATGTCGAATATCGGGAGCTACCGTTATATAGGGGCTATACGAAGACATGGACCTGCATACAAAAATGTTTGTCATAGGCTGTAGTACCCAGTGCGAACTTCAGATACGAAATATGAAATAATTTCGGTAAATAATGTCGCTGAAACCATGAAAATGTCCAATATCCGTAGGTTCCGTTATATGGGGGCTGTACGAGGACGTGGACCGGATACAAACATTTTTGTCATAGGCAGCAGTACCCATTACGAACTTCAAATATGAAATTTGAAATAATTTCGGTAAAAACTGTTGCTAAAATCATGAAAATACCGAATATCGGGAGGTACCGTTATATGGGGTCTATACGAATACGTGGACCGACATGGCCCATTTAAGAACTTAACCTGCCTACTGGTAAACTATGCTAGTATGCAAAATGTTAGCCTTCTATCTCAATTCGTTTGAAAGATAGCGTGATTACAACAGACAGACGAATATCGCTAGATCGTCTTAGAATTTTACACTGATCCAGAATATATATACTTTGTAGGATCTATTATAAATATTACGAGGAGTTACAAACGAAATGACAATGTTAATATACCCTCCATAGAATGGGGCAGGGTATAAAAATTATGAAAATATTTTCTCAAAAAAAAAAACATGAAGTTGATGGAGAAATATTCTTAATAAATAGCAATTAAGGAGCTCACGTTAATTTCCTGAATTGAAAAAGTATTCTCAAAAATCTTTAATTATGTGTCTGATATACCAAAAAATCAAACACACGAAGTTGATTTAAAAGGCTCATAAAAACCAAGATTGTACCCATTACCCACTTCAAATACCAATTTTGAGATAATTCCATTGAGAAATGTGTCTAAAATTGTGTGTTCGTAATTTTCTGTTGAAAATACCGAATATCTGATATAATGACTATAACAAAACATGATGGTCCACAAAAATACTCTTAAAAATTCCACGAGTTTAGCTCTGATAGATCTTAAAAATTTTAAGATAATAGCCTAGATAGTTCATGTATACCGAAGAAATCACAATTATACATGTGATAATGTCTAAGAAAATATTCTTGAATATCCCGGACTAAAGCTCTAATATCCTGAAAAATACTGATAATTATAAAATAAAATTATTAATTATGGAAATTATTTTCCAATATACCTTATTATTAATAAGGTATGGTGTACAAAAAAGGTAAAATCTCTGTTTTACAAACAACAAGCAATATTTTGCTTTAATCAATATTTTTTTGCTTTCACAAATCAAAAAACACGTAAAACTAACATTAACATGAAAGGGACATGGCTTGTAAACAAAACTGCCTTTAAGTTGTTGCTTAAATGCAAATACATCGGTGTCAATGGAATCCAAAATGAACTTCTTTCTATTGCTCATACAACAAAAAAAAAGCATGCCAAGGAACCATTAAATAAGCCAGCCAAAAGAAAACTTCCTCAAAGCAATCAACGTCAACGCCCAAGACTCACACTATGTCCAGTGCGAAAGTATAGGGAGAGGGGCTTTAGAAAATATTAATAATAATATTGTGGAAAAATTCGAAAAAAGAAAAATTGAAAATGTTAACGAATATTGAAGCAATTACTGGCTTTAAAACATGTGAAAAATATAGTATATCGAGAGGTGGTGGCTAAAAAGCATGCTAACAAATTGTTCCACATGTGTTCAGACTTCATATACCCACGGTGATGATAGTCAGGCTTGGTTGGTTAAGTGGAATCGATAAATGTTTGAAGTCTTATAGGCATTTCATTGCCGTGGTATAAAATTGATGTACAACAAGCATTCAGTGGACATACCTTAAATAATTGTTGAATAGTAATGAACAGCGGCATCACATTCAAAATCGTAACTTGCGTTATTTTAGGTAGGATCCGTTTTTAATATTAAATATGTAAAACATATTAACAAATTATTCCCTTTTCCAGCTCTTCACTCTTCCGGGGAAGCAGTGGGACGTCTGACAAAACGCAATGGTTACATATACAAATCGTCATCTTCATTGGGTAGTCCACATGCTGGTGGTAGTGCCCTCTTTATACCCCAAGACCACCAGGCGCAGCACTCAGCACCTGATCATGAAATCTCCTTTCAGGATGATGGTACTGGAAGTGGAGTTGGTGGTCCAATTAACGCTAAATATGATGACAGCTACTATGATTATAAAATAGCAGGCTCTCCAGCCAGCGGTCCAGCCCCTTCCAATTATCACTTGAGCAGTGGTGCAGGAAAGGGTGGTGCTTCCAAACAGATAATAAAAGTTTCCTCAGCAAGCAGTGTTCCCTCAGTGTCGTATCATTTAACAAGTGAAACAATTTCAAGTGCTCCCAAAGCTGGTTACGGTATTGGCAGTGGTTTGCGGTCCATAGCCCAAGGATCTGCCCATCAGGCTTACAGTGCCGTGGCATCTCAGCATGCCGCCGCCAAACAAGCAGCATTTTTGGCCAAAAACTCCCTAGCCCAAGCGGCCACACAAGCAGCTGCTACCGCCCAAGCAGCCTTGGAAGGCAAACAAATACTTCTTCATGAACTACAGCAGCAAGCGGGTATGGCTCAACAAGCTCTTTCACGTGAATTGGAGCAACTAAAGCTGGCACAAACAACAGCCCAGCTGGCCCAACAAACTGCCCGAGCTGCCCGCAATCAAATATCTGTACTCACGGGGGCCCTTAATAATGCCAAAGCGGTTGCGGATCACGCCGACCAAGCTGCCCAGGAAGTTGCCAATCAATTGGCTTCCCAGTCGACAATGGTGGGTCAGGCTAAAACTCGTCTAGAGCAAGTTGAGGAGCAATTAAAACAAGCAACCGTTGATTACGAAGCCACCAAAGAAGCAGCCCTAAAAGCTTCATCATCGGCCGCGGAGGCCCAGGTGAATGCCTCTCAGGCGGCTGCGCATGCAACCAAAGAACTACACGATAGCACTCATCAACATCCACCATCTGCCTCGGCAGACGATTCATTTGAAGATGCACAGGCATTTGTCCATCAAGTACATTCGGGTGGTAAACGCAGTCGACATCCGAGCCAACATTCGTCTTCCATTGATCGAAGTGAAAATGGTGAAAAGCAATAGAAATGTAATGTTAACTTTTTCATATTTTATAATGTTATATAATTTTTAAGTTATATCAAAAATATAAACTAAACTAAACGCATCCAAATACTACAGTAATCCAAATCATTTTTAATTGTAAGAGAAAAAGCAATAAAAATAAATATCATCCCATTTAATAAAAATAGAATAAATTATTGATCTACGAATCTGACTTTCGTAGTACTTAAAAAAATGTAGTCTTAAATATTTCAAGAATTAAACACCGGTAGCTATTCACAAAAATTCTTAAAAACAATTTTTTGTATATCAGCTTTCAAAGAATAGCATTAAAATTTCCACAACTTGGGCTCTAAGATTTCGAAGAATTGATATTAAAAAATATACAACTTTGACTCCGGTAAGTTTATAAATAACGATTTTGACTCTGATAGTTCTTCTTAAAAACTCTATGATTTTGACACTGAAAGTTCATAAAAAAGGTTCTTCACCATCTACCTTTAAAGCTTTCAAGTGGAAGACTATTTTTATAATTCCAAAAAAAAGAAAAGTCCAAGAAATACCCTTATGAAATCATGATTACAGCCCTTCTTCTCAAATGCAGCCATATTCACGATTAATTCCCTTTAAATATACGATTATATATCTAAAATCCTATAAGATAGTATTCCAAAAATCCCATGATTGTAGACTATTCTTAAAAAATACAATGTTAAATCTTAAAATACATGGTAGAATAATTAAAAAAATACGACTACAACTCTTATAATTCATGAAAAAATCTTAAATATCTACGACTATCCCTGGAAATGTTACTCTTAAAATGCATGAATCCACAATTAAAGCTCAGATGGAAATACGTTTTAAACCAACTATTATAACATGATTAATTCTTCCATATAGTCCTAAAATGATTCTCTGTTATGGCCTTTAAAAATCTAAAATTATTTCTCCATTTTCATATCTCTGAAATTCCATTAATATCTACGATCATATCTCTCAAAAACTATTAAAAAATGTTCTTAAAGTCCAGAGTTTTGACTCCGGTAGTCCATAAACGGATATTCTTATAATACTAATATTTATTAAACTAAAAAAAATTCCCAATCATTTCTCTTAAATATCCACGAAGTTATATCTAAAAGTCCATGGGATAATATTCCTAAAATCCTGTAATAATAGCCTTAATAACTGTTAAAAATTATCCACTTTCACATCTCAATCTAATCTATTTTCAAAATTTAACTATTACAGTCCATGAAATTTTTAAAAAATCACGATTATAACTGAAACTCAAATGGTTGATTTTTTCTAAGAACCAACTCTGTTGACTAAGATAGGTCATAGACAAATAGGTAAATAAATATTTAAAAAAACGAGGTTTGATGCTCAGAGTGTCTATAACAAAATATTCATAACATACATTGAAGCCAAATAGAATGGTTGGCAGACACCGGATTGTGTAATGATAAACACCATTTTGACGAAAGTTCTTACAATTCCCTCACAATGCGTAAGATATTACATATAACACTTCAACTTCAAAAATCTGATAGTTCAGATTGGTATACAAATTTTAAATTCTTCCAATTCAAGTTCTAAAATGTGATATATAAATCTGATTAGTACCTCCAAAATACTTATAACCAGTACCACTAAACGGAGGGTAAGTCAAAACGTGGATCTGCAACGATATTTTTATCAGAAATCTTCTACCTATTTTGGTGGTTTACTTAGTCATCTTGATTGAAAATGTTTTATCATCAATTCTCAAGACCTAGATAATTTATAGTCGGAATAGAAGTCCATCCTGAATCTTCCAGGTGGTAGTGCTTTAAGAAAGATGGCATAACTAGACGGAGGTCCTAAGTACATCCATATTATACCACCGCCGTAACTAATTATAAATTGGAGATAATTTATACTAGCGAAAAAATATTAACCTTTTTTCTAAATAAATATAATTTCGTTGGTTGGGCACTTTTCGCCTATCACAATATCCTGTCTATGTTGATGAAATGGCCATACAACTTTTTTTCTGGAAAGTAGAAAAAAGGGCAATTCATCCATATCTTCAAATACACTTTAAACAGCATAACCCAAATTGTTATATCGCCTTGGTTCAATGTTATCTGAATGAAAGTGATATCTTACTGATTTTAAAAAATTTTGATTTTTTGCTGACTATTGAAAAAATAAATAATTATATATGTGGACTAACTCAACAAGGTTATAGTCGTATTAGAATGTAGAATGAATCGTCGAGAAACGAGCACAAAGTATACCTTCCTTGTTTTTGGAAGACAAAGTAATGATAATTACTATCATATTATTATGGTATCAATGTCACCATCAGTTTACATATATTCAGATGTTGTATCGAAGAATTCGGTATCAAAAATAAATGATGATAATGGCATGCATCTGCAGTATTGGGCACAAACTGCCATACATTTGTAAAACTCTCCGATAAGTAACAATTCGTAACTCTTTATCTGCTATATCGTGTATACATCGAGTAAAGGACTTACCGCATCTGAAAACATAAATTTGATAAATTTTAAAATTGATTATCCTTACAATATATTTAATCTAAACTTACATTGATTTTTTCCTCTTTTCGATTCCAAAGTACGCGGCAGCTTTAAATTTCTTAAGATCGGGGCCACAAAACGCGAAACGGAATTTAAAAAACGAAAATGATTTGCGTAAACTCAAAATGCGATTTAATTTTGTTCATTTTCTTAAACCTTTCCACTAGTTTGCCTTGGAGCCAAAGCTTTTTGATTGAAGTTAAAGAAGAGGCGAAGATATGCTATCCACTAATAACATGAAATAGAAGGGCTTTACATTCCCCTAGCTCGTTCCCGCAAATCCTACATAGGTCTTACCATTTCTGAAAATACAAATTATAGATTTAATGGATTTAGTTATCCTTAGAGTCAGATATCCATTCAGAACTTACCTTTTATTCTTATTTATTTTAGCTTCAAACAATGCAAAGCATTTTACCTTAAAATACACTCGACCGAAACCTCTCTCGCAATAGCCTAAATAAAGGAAGCTAAACGCAACGCGTTAAAATTAATTTCCAGGTCAAATGATAGAAAATAAAATTAAAATAAAAGATAAACATTTTTGCAATGCTCTATTGTTTATTAAAATATGAAAACCTCCTTTATTTAGAATTCAATTAATAAAAATCATTCGATTTGCTTTTTGCTAATTGTCACACGTTGGGTTTTTCAATCCATGAACTTGTATCTCTTACACAAACGAAGTTTTGAGAATACTTTTTCAACGAGACCAACAGAGTCAAAGTCCAAAAGCACCGTTTTTTAAAGCGCCTTCCCAAATACACCCCCAATTTTTCATTTCGTTGGCTCATATTCGGTACTACCATGGTACAATGAAGAGAAGGTAGGTCAACTTTGAAAAAATTGCAAGTATAGAGGTCTACCTGTTTGGCTTGTAATGTCAGAAATAGTATCAAAACAATAACAAAATCAAACAACTTGTTGCATTTATTTTGAAAAAATAATTGAAAACCGCGAAAACTGAATGAAAGATCAACACTTCTTTTCAAAACCAGGTTCTATATATCTCTAAAGGATTATTTCGCTACAAAAACTCTAGATTTTGTCGATGCATACGTTGAAATAAACAATTTGAAAACACCCCAATTTGAATGTTTTCTGAACAATTTTTTTGTTATTGAAAAGGAAACACATACATAAACAAATATAGATGACATATTAAGCCAAGAAAAGAAAAAAATTGAAATCATATGGTATCATAGCCCTACCTTGATATCATTGTACCATGGGTACTACTTCCATTAGTAAAGGATCAGCTGCTTTGTTGGGCGACAATGGTCATTTCGAACTTATAGAACCCTATAGACTGACATTTTCAATCTATTAGAACCCTTTAGCAGTCGTTGTTTTTGCTTTGATTTTTAACTTTATTATCCATTTCCACATTGTTTCTTTATTCTCGGCATTTTTGTGTGAGCTTGCCGTGCTTCGGAATCGTAACACGTAACACCCCGCAACTTTTTAATTCTTTAATTTTTGAGTGAAACCACGGAAATTATAAAGATTTATTAATGGCAGCCAAAGTAGTTAAGTACATCGGACGCACCACCGATTTCAAAGGTAAAACCTTATGGGAAATTGTGGGAGATCTGAAAGATTTCGGTGTTGGCCGGTTGGTGGTACGCAACATGTTCCAACGTTACCCAGAGCCTTGCTATATGCGTATATTGAAGGTTGATACTGTGGATGCAGAGGTAATGTGACAAAATATACCATCTCCATAACTATGTAATATTAAAGTTTGAATATGTTTAATTTCCAGGACGGTGATAAGCCCCGCAAAGTTAAGGTGACCGTGGAGAAAACCTGGCGTGGTGTTACCCTACCCAAACCTGTGGAAATTTTCAGCACAAGCTACAAGGCCGATTATGAATTAGTGGACAAGGAGGATGAACCTAAATATTTACAAAATACAGCAAAAGTCGAAGAAAAGATTCTTAGTCCCTATGTAGAATTCCCTCCATTGCTACGTGAATTCATTTCCGAGGAGACGGGAAACAAAAATCCCCAAATGAAGGTGCATTTTAAGCAAACCGATAATAAGTTTGTACGTCTCGCCAAGGAGGGCGAAAAACCCACAATACAAGTCACTATGGGATTGGGTCAACCCTCTGTCATAGCCAAGAAGTTGTATGAAGGTGTGTTATAAGTGTTAAATTGTTGTCTGCATAGAAAAGTAAATCTAGGATGAAGTTAAAATAAAAAAAAAAAAATATGGAAAAGCAAGTGGACTAAGAAATTTTAAAGAGTGACAATACATGGTGTGAGTATATTTAACAATGAAATCGGTAGGATGGATGAGCACTAGGAATGTTAAATTTCAACAATCCCTAAAACACGGTAGAAAAACGATTGTGTCCAAAAATCATTTGTCCTCAAAGTGTCCTTAATAGAAAATTGTAATGAAATATGAAGATTTTATAAAACGTGGATTCAGTTCGAAAAGAAAATAAAAAGGTCCTGGCTCCTCTTAATCAAAATTCAAAAAGGTAAATAGGAAATTTTCTTTTTATGGTATGAAACCTTTTTTATTTTTCTTTTTGTAATAAATTATTCTAATATTTACACATACAAGTACATCCTTTGTTCGTTGAGACACAAACACACAATTAATCAAATGCATTCATTGGAGCAATCATTTGGAATAGAGATAATAGTATACGAAAGAAATTTCATACATAAATACAATAAATTTAATAGGGAATATAAATAATACTTAGAAATTTATATATCGATCTCGATTATAATTAGCGTTTGGATTCCATTTGTCTTAATTTTCTTGTTAGATTATCCACCTCCAAACCCAACACATCTAAATTTTCCTAGAAAACAAAACAAAAAAAATTACGAAAAATTCAATTTTTTTTAAATTTTGTTTTCACCTTTAGCGTAATATTTTTCAATAGAGTATCCTCCAGGACAGCTTGAAGCTTTTTATTAATCTCTAGGGACAATTCTAGAGACATGCTTTTGTTCTCGACTCCCTTGATGCCACCATATATGGCTGACATAACGCCATTGCCATATTTTGCCAACTCGCTTTTATTTTGATCACTTTTCGAAGAGGTTAAGGCTCCAGCCTGTTCCCTCAACATATAGTGTTGGACGACTTTGGATTTCTTTTGCAGCTCTGCTACCAACGAGAGGCTATGCTGTTCGAGGAAATCAATTTTCTCAGCTTGTCGGGCGGAAGCTTGTTGTAAACGTAGAATACGTTCGACTAAATGTTTTTTGGAAGGTCCCTAAAAATTGTGGATTTTAAATTTGATGTAAGCATCAATGTTAATTTTGCTTACCTTATTTTCATCTTTAAAATCTAATTCCCTTCCCGTCACGGTATCAGATTCGGAAGACTCACTACCCCTTCTGCTGCCCGCTGTTGAGCTTACACTTTGTACTGTGGTACTGATACTGCTTTGTCGGCTATGTGACCTTTTCGTTTCTGCATTTAACCTTTCATCGGTGGCACTTTTATGATAGCCATTGTTTTGAGACGTGGTTTGTTCGCATCTGGAACATATGTAGGTACGTGGTGCATCACCTTGTTGATCTGGTGTCTTTTTCAATTTCATAATTTCCCTTTGGAGTTCTTTTACAATTGTATTATGTTTATTTTTTGTGGCCTCAAAATCACCCTGAACATTTTCCAATTTCAGTTTGGTATTTTCGTATAGCTTAGTTTTCTCGGACAGATGTTTAGCCAACAGCAGCCGTTCCTCGTTCTTTTGTAATTGTTCCTGTTTTAATTGCTGTTCAAGAGCCAAGTATTTTTCATCGTAGGCAGATTTTTCTTTTTTCAGTAGCATATTTTCAGCTTCGATTCCTTGTGCCTAAGAACAATAGATTTTGAGCAATTATTTAAAATTATCATAAAGATTTGTTTAACAAATACATGCCTTTGATTTTAACAAACATATTTGATTTTGCAGGTCCACTATGCTGCCACTCATTTCCATATTAAAGCTAAGTAGTTCCTTTTCTCGGTCATGCAGCAATTTCAAGTCCTGTTCATTGTCTGCTAATCTCTGTTTGGCATCGCCAAGTTCCGAAGATAAATTTGCTATTTTCTCCTCATTTCTGAAATGACACCCATTATGATTCGATGTTATTAAGTAATGATTGTTGTTTCACTTACAAAGTATTTTGTGTCTTCAAAACTTGTAACTCCTCCAGCTGGCCCCGCAATTTGGCCGATTGCAACATTTCTTCGCTATAGGAATTTTGTATTTGATTGTGTTCCTCTTGCAGGTGATTATAGGCCTCGGATAATTGGGATTTCTTAAATAAAAATAGACATATGCACTATTAACTCCCCTGACATGTATAAACCACATTCTTTCGTACCTCCTGGGTTTCTTGTTTTAGCTGTTCCTGTAATTGTCTAATTGTTTCCTTTTGCGATTCCGTTTCCTTTTGCAGTTTGTCCAAATGTTCAGTCTTACTGGCAATTTCATGTTTCAGTAGTATTGTTTGGGCTTCAAATTCTATTTTTAATTTTTCTAAAAAAACAGTCAAATAAAATTTGAGTTTGGTTGAAAATGCATTTCTCTTTCAATTCCTACCATTGGCTTTTTCTTCCATTTTATTTGGTGCATTCCTTTCTTCTTCCAATTTCTTTTCCAACGCCAATTTGGCTTCGGTTTCCATATTTAGTTTATTCATGTGGTATTTCAGTTTCGATTCCAAATGACCATAATCGGTCTTTAGTTTTTCACATTCTCTTTGGTATTTTCTTACTTCGTTGCACTGGAAGAAATGGAATTGTAATTATTAAAAATTAATTTTTTGAAAATGTATTTTCTCACCTTTTCGTCCATTAAATAAGCTATTCGGGACTTCTCTTCATTCAGGGCCTGAAATTTTGTGGTATAGTTCTTGATTTCTTTCTTAGCATCGGCCAATTGTTTTTCAACCACTTCTTTTTCCTTTTTTGCATCAATCACACTTTTCTCTTTTATGGCAAATTGAATGACCGTCGATTCTCTGGCCTTGTTAGCCAAATCTTTTTCTCTTCGGAACTAAAATTATAAAAAAGTGTAGGAAATATTATAAATATATAGTAAATCTCAAAATATAAAAATATTATAGTAAATCTCAAAAAAAAGTATTTAAAAAAATATGCATAGGACACAGGGGTCCTGAGTTTCCAAAGGAAATTTTCTTAAGAAGGGAAAGTATATCGGCAAACTTGACAATAGAATCTGTTCTTCCGATCTAAGAGGGTGCTTGTGTTGAAACAAAATAATCTTCCTGAATGAAACTGGTCTTTTTGGGATATATTGGGGATTGTCTTCATTGCTCCATAAACTCAAATTCTTCTTTTGAACATATTTTCAGATTTCAATATACCGATTCTTTTTCTTTCTCCAATATGGCATTTTCCCTCTGGAACAATGATATCATGTTATCTTTCTGGGTCAAAGCTGCTTGTAGTTGATCCAACTGTTGCTGTTGTTGCTGTAACTTGGCCTCATATTCTTTAAGTTTAGTTAGTTCTTCAGTAGATGGTTGTTGCTGTTGGTGGACTTCTATAATATCGGCCGCCTTTTCCACCAAATCCATATAACGTATTGAAGATGAGGGCGAATTCGGTGTTGAAAAACTTGCTTTCGCAGTATCAGATTTTGTGACACTTTCAACATCATTAGCCTTAGATGGTGACGTTGTTACATTTGTACAGGTATACAAGAATTCCCCCTCTTTGCCTTCGTTGGAATTGATGTCACTTGCAGCGTTTTCTGTAATTGATTGAATATCTTCCATATTATTTTCTGTTTTTGATGCATTCTCCGACTTTGTCTCAATTTCGATGGCGTTAATTGGACTTGATGGCATCGTTACAATTTCTACATCTGTGTGACTTCCAACCTGATCACTGTTGTCACCCTTCGCCTTCTCCTCCACAACATCAATGGGTGCTTGTGTTGATTGTGGGTTGCTATTGTTGTTGATTGTGGTGGTGCTTTCATTATCAATGGAATGTAGTTCTACGAGATGTAGATTTTGGTTCTGTATTGTTGTGACTGGCTTTGTGTTTTCTGAGGATTCCTCCATTTTGTTTCTTCCTTTTGTATTCTATTAGTTGCAGCAACTTAAATCCGCTTTATTTAATTAACAACACATTTTGTTTGACAAGAAAATATTTTATTTTTGCAATATTTGCTTGTGAAAAAATTTCTCCTTGTGTTTACGCGTCAAGACTTCTCTTTCCCTCTCTCATTGCTAATCACAGGGATATAATATCTCTGCCAATCGCAGTCACTGAACATTGATAACATTTTAATTGACAGCGCACAATCAGCTGTTGGAGAAAAAAGTGAGAGAGCATGAAAAATAACATTGTTTACTTTTCTCGTTGTTGTTGTCTCAAATTGACCATTGACCAGAAGTAACAACCTGCCCAGCAAATTCCCACAAATGTTAAAATAAATTATTTTAATAAAACTAGCCGATGGAGACCAAAAACCAATATGTACCCAGAGTCAATCAGGTTTGTGTGGCAATAAACAATACTATAAAACAGAAAATCTAACAAATAATTTTACAGATTGACGCTATCTCATTGAACAAAGATATCACTCGTATGATAAGGGAAAATTTGCTGGAAAACATACAGGCAATATCAGTAAGCAAACTACACATGGATATATGTACTGACATACGGTTTAAAACTATTTCTTCGAAATTTATTCTAGCCTATATTATACTTAAAAATACAACCGGAATTGGATTTGCTAATACAATCGGCCATTTGGTTTGGTTCGGTAGGGAAACGATGCTCAACATTTGGACAGCAGCTATTGGTTTTAGCTTACGACTCGGAACGTCTGACCATATCCAGATTGGTTTTACATTTCTGTCTCACTGTCCTGCCCAGTTATATTAAAAAATTGGAGGAACGCCGTTTAAGTCATCGTGTTGAATGGCTCTCTAAGGCCATAGAATATGGAGAGAATGCCGCATTGGTGTTGTCGGTATTGAATTTCTTTCGATTCTTGAAAACAGGCCGTAAACCTACTCTCATTGACTTCCTGCTCGGTCTAGACTATATAAGTTTACGTCACAACCAGCGGCGTGATATTGGTTATAAATATTTGACCCGTGAATTGTTATGGGGTGGCTTTATGGTAAGCTATGATCTTAAAATTATAAAAACTAATCGATTAATATGTTTTTTTATTTAGGAAATTTTGGGTTTAGTCCTGCCCATCATAAATTTCCGTAAACTGCAACGAGTTGCACGGAATTTATTCTTTTTTAAGAAATCAGAAGCCCTTGATGAAGCTGGTAATTTCTTGCGACCGGCTAATCGTAAACCAAAATTAACTCCCACCACAACTTGTGTATATTGTGGCCAGCGCCCCACATTGCCCCACTATATGGGTTGTGAACATATCTACTGTTATTATTGTTTATCGGCCAATATATCGACAGATTCGAAATTTTGTTGCACCGCTTGTGATAGTCCAGTTTCAGCTAATGGCATAGAGCCCCTGTAGTCGAGCTGTGAATTATGTATAACAATTACTATGTAGTTGGATCTATTCTAAGCAGAGTATAAATACGGATATAGGGATACTTTTTATATACAAACGAAACTGTGAAATAAAATTTAATAAATCAAATTGAATCACTTTCATTATAGATTGATTTCAAAAGAGATTGGAGGAAAGCTAACACGGAAACAGTAAACTTCTCAAATTAATTACAACAGAACTTATTGAATGAAAATGTGCTAAATTTAGCCTCGCAGTTGTGACACATATTCACAAAGGTTCATAGGCAGTTGCAGTTTGACAGATGTCCTCATAAAAAGAATAATATAAAGTGAAATTAGATTTTTAAATATTTATAATCATGGTGGCCATTGTATAGTTCATCGAATGTCGTACGCCGAAATTTAAGGTACCATTAAAGATCAGTTACTCTCATATTTGACATATGAGTAATTAGTAATTATCGTTTGTCACTCTCTCAAAAAGAAACAAGAAAGTGAAGTGCGAAAACACGTCTGAATAATTTGTGTGTAAAATAAATAAATATTCCGAAACAAAGAATAAAAGTTGAAGCAATAATAGTTTACAGTGAATCTTTTGTACATACATATATAGATATTGTTAAATATATCTATTTATTAATAATGTAAGTAAAGTTTGAAAATGAATCGCATCTTAGCAAAACATGTAAACAACATTGCGCCAATTTTTTTTTTGCAAAAGAACAAAAGAGAGCAATGTAAAAGTGATGCCAAGTAGAGAAGGAGTTTCCACCACAGGGTTGCCAATAGTTTTATCTCTGCAACAAATACATTCCAGTAGTCACTACGAATAGTTTCATATAAGATGATACCAAATAAATTAACAAAGTTGAAAGATATGTGTATTCGTAGAATTCTTTATTAAAATTGCAGACGACCTTAAAATTTAACAAAATAGTGCATTTAGTTTCATTAGAAAAATCAAATACTACGTGAAATTTAATTGAATAAAATGTCAAATTGAATTTCCCTCTGTTGCACGACCAATTGCATTTGTTTAATGAGATGTGATAATTTTGCCGCCTTTTGCAGTACATGAATGGTTGCATTGGCTAAATGTGTAAAAGTGGCAAAAGTAGTAGAACCTTTTTAGTTCTTCGACACAACTGTATTCTTGTAGATTAACGTAAATAAAAGCATAATTTTTAACGAAATGACTGAGGGTATGTTCGAGAAGGGTAGGAAAGAGATGCATTTTTGTAAAGTAGCGTGGAATATGGCGAGAATCAGAAGCATTGGGCTATTTGTGTTTCATTTAAGATTTTTTTTAAATTTGTTCGTTAAACTGAAACTTTAGTAAATAAGAGCTATAGAACTATTTTAAAATTTGCAATTTTGATTCCATTTTCTCAACAGTTTAAAAGTGCAACACCTACACTTTGTAAAACTGTGGGTTTCTTACGGGATTTTACGGAATGTCGTTTTATACTGCAATATATCCTTTAAATTCTTTCTGTACAAATTACTAATCAATTTACAATGACAATTTATCATACATACCTAATGTAAAAGGTATGAACGTGTATACAATGGAAGGAGCTAAAAATGTCCACCTTGACATTTGGCGTAAAATTCTACACGCCATTGTCAAATAGATTTTGCAAAAGTTAACGCCGTCCGAATTTTTCCTCCGACTTCCTACTCTGTCATCTGTTCTTTCGATTGAGTGTTTTTTGGTGTTTTCTTTGTTGTGTTGAGTGTAAATCGTAATGTGTTGAGTGATTTTCGTTTTGGGCAGCAGCAGCAGTACAGAGAAAAAATTAAATAAAATAAGACGAAATAAACAAAGTGCAGAGATATAGTCGAAAAAAGACAAGAAATATTATAAGCGAATAACCACGATAATCAACGACATCGTATTTTGCAAAGATTGTCCAGACCATATTAAATAATCAATAATAAGATATAGTTTGGTTGGTCAATTGTCGTTGTTGTTGTTTGTTTGTTTGCTGTAAAGTGAATGAAGTCGTTAAATAAGAATTACGTTTTAATTTAAAAAAGGAACGTCAAGCGAAGATACAGTAGCCCAGTCAGCCGTTGTATTTCATCAAAATAAACAAAGAATCATCATCTTGAGCAGCAAACACAATCAATCCTCACCCATACATACGGAGAGAATAGTCGATTTGCTCATATCAGGGTCAAGTTTTTCAAGCGAACAAAGACCTTGCAAAAAACAAAATCTAATACTAATTTAACGAAGAAGGGAATAATTTGAATATATGCTGTTTGATTAAACACATAAAAGGCGTAGGGAGGCTACACAGACCGACACACACACACACCCACACATCAACTTTCAACACTGCCCAAGTCTGCCAATACAACAACAACAACAAATATTAATTAGGAACCCACAAAATAAACAAAGGTATGATGTTTGTTTAGAAAACGCAACTCTAATTTTAACGCTCACTGTCTTGTTTACATTTGTCTGTTCTATTTTTAGCTTACTTTGTAACATTTCTAAACAATGCTGGACTTAGAAATTGTCCCCGAAATTTCTCTGGGCTGTGATGCCTGGGAATTCGTTTTGGGTATGCATTTCTCTCAGGCAATTGCCATCATACAGTCCCAGGTGGGCATAATCAAGGGTGTCCAGGTGTTGTATTCAGACACCAACCCATTGGGTGTGGACATTATCATCAATTTGCCGCAGGACGGTTTACGTTTAATATTTGATCCCGTCAACCAACGTCTGAAGATCATTGAAGTGTGCAACATGAAATTGGTGAAGCTCAAGTATGGCGGTGTATATTTCAATTCTCCCGAAGTGTTGCCTTCCATTGAACAAATCGAGCACTCATTTGGTGCCACACATCCCGGTGTTTATGATGCAGCCAAACAACTGTTTGCCTTACACTTTCGTGGTCTAAGTTTCTATTTTCCCGTTGATAGTAAATTGCATGCTGGCTATGCTCATGGTTTGGGCTCGTTGGTGTTCTTGAGCGGAGCATCACCGGTGGTCTCCAAAATGTCACTGTATGCTGGTAGTAATGTGGCCGAAAATAAGACACCTCCACTGCCCTTATCCTGCTATCATCGTCAATTGTATTTGGAATCGGCCACAGTTCTGAGATCGGTTTTGGGCTGTACCAAAGGACTACGTTTGAAACTATTTACCGAAGGTTCCGGACGTTCGTTGGAACCTCGACGCCAATGCTTCACCAAAGAGATACACTTTGGCGACAGTTGTCAGGATGTAACCACACAATTGGGAGCCCCAAATCGTATATTCTTCAAGAGTGAAGATAAAATGAAAATTCATTCCTCCAGTGTCAATCGCCAGGCTCAATCGAAGCGAAGTGATATTTTCTTTAATTACTTCACGCTGGGCATTGATGTGCTCTTCGATGCCCGCACCCAGACCTGTAAAAAATTCATTTTGCATACAAATTATCCCGGCCATTTCAACTTTAATATGTATCACCGCTGTGAATTCCAGTTTCAACTACAACCTGAACGTTCTCAACTGACCGACAATGGTGGTTCCCGTGCTTCCTATGGCAGTGGCAGCAGTGTTGCCGAAACTGTTGCCTCAACGACTGCACCCGTCAACATTAATGCCTATTCGAAATGGAATGAAATCAGTGCTGCCATGGCTCCCTCAGAACGCCCAGTGGTATTGCATAGAGCCAGTTCGACCAATACCGCCAATCCATTTGGATCTACATTCTGTTATGGCTACCAGGACATCATATTTGAAGTTATGTCAAATAATCACATAGCTTCGGTCACTCTATACAGTACAGCGCCCACAAAACCCGCCGAAGATCTATGGCAGCAGCATAAAATGCAAGATATACGTTTGACTGTGGCGTGAAAATAATGCTAAGGGCATCCAAGAACATTTACACACACACGCAACCGCATACATATAAAGTTTTCGAAAACTAAATCATATATATTATTAACTATAATATTCTACATTAGTTATATGAATTCTCAAGCACAAAGGCCTAACTCGTAAGGCAGGCAACATGCATGCAACATGATGTTAAGCTAATCTGATGGTGGGTGGTCAATCTGTCGGTCTCCACCCATCAACAAGTGAGTACATGTGAGTGTGATGGCCATTTTTCGTCACACAAATCAGAGGAATTGTTCAGCAAATTCTCCCAAAAAAAAGAAAAAAGTATAATTATTCTTAATAATCAAATATATTTAATATATATATTAAATAAAAAAATAATTCTTTATAATAGTAAAAAATGCAAAAAAATCATTCGGTGTATGATGAAATATGATCTGTAAATCATCAACTACTTTCATTATTTGGAGGTAGCTTGTTATTTGTCGGATATGGACGAATATGAACATTGCTAATGTACGACGTTTAATTTTAAATTAATATTAACAATTATTCTTTTATCATTCTTTAATGTTTTATTAACATTTAAAACAAACAAAAAACACAACAAAAAAACCAAAAATAAAAGAAAATTTATTAAAAAAAATATATATGACTTTGGATTTAATAAAAAGATTTGTATAAAAAGACAGCTGTAAGTGATATATGCAGTACTCTGAGGCTATTAAAATAGAGTGGATATTTCATAAATATTTGGAAATTATGTATACTTTCCTTTAGGTGCCAAAAATAAGCCGCTGAATGTGTTTTGTAGGATGTACACAATTTTCAAAGAAAATGTTTCAACCTCATTTTTCAAAAATTAAATGCTTTTTTCAAATCAGTTTCAAAGAACATTGCTAATCCTCCATCCTACTTCCTTTCCAGACAAAAATCTCAAACAAAAAGTCAGACACAATGCCCGAAATGGAGACTGAAAACACCAACTCTACCACCACAGAACCTGTGACAGCAGAAAATCCCGACGAGAAACAAAAGAAAACAACATATGCAGCTGTATATGATCCAGAATGTCTACCTGATATGCTACCTGTCTATTATAGGCGTTTGTTTCCGCACAAACCATTTTACAGATGGCTTTCTTATGGCCTATGTAAGTAACCGACGATTAGAGAAACAATAAAAATACATCTTTTGTTTCGACATGATCGTTTTCGCCAATGTAAATATGTAATGTTTCTGATTTCATGTGTTTTATGTGCGTATATTGCTTCCTTCATTGCAGCTGAGGATGGCATTTTTGTCAATCGTGAAATCTCCTTTACTCTACACGATGATATTTACATACGTTATTTATGTTTTGAAACCCAGCAGGAATTCGAAAAGGAACTATGCACCAGATGTCCATTTAAGATTGATATAGGAGCTGTTATGAACACAAGGTGAGTTAATGTGAAGAGCCTCCTTTTAGAGGTTGAAAGAAATATATGTATCAAATCGATACAAAAGAAGGACTATGGAAATGGGTAATTTTTAAAGATTTCCAGGATAATTAAAATATGATTCCAAAATGGATCTTTCAAAAAAAAATATTCTACGTTAATCCACCAAACCTAAAAAGTAGATAGGGATGATCCAAGAGAATCATAAAAGTAGATTATAAATGATTTGTATGATGATCCATGGGCGGAAGAAAAGCCCACATTTAGAAAGACTTCTAGGACTTTTCACCGCAATCTAGAAAAGTAGATGTAATTAAGATTATAAATGTGGATCTTTGAAATATTTCTAGGATGACCCCAGGGCGACTATAAACGTAGATTTTTATGAGAATCTAAGGGCGACTATTAAAATGGATGGTCCAAGGGTGATTACAATTGTCGATTTGAAAGAAGATTAATCACGAATTAAAAAAACTTCTAACATTTTCTAAGAGCAGCGAGAAAAGTAGATTTTATAGTTTTCTTGGTTGATCCAAAGCAACTATAACATGGATTTTTAAAGAATTCTAGGATTGTCCGAGGACAAATATAAAAGGAGACTCTATACAGATTTCTTGGATTAATCAATAGCGAATACAACACAGTTTTTATAAAGGTTTCTGTGAATCATCCAAGACGTGATTTTTTAGAAAGACTTTTATTTTATAATCGATTTTATTGGGGTTTCTAGAGGACTATACACGTGGTTTTTTAATTTCACTAGCATGATAATTATTAGGATTTGAAAATGACATAATTTGGGGACTTTTTTATGTTTTATAGGAACCAAAAATGATTTTTGAAATACATTGTCTATGCTTCATCATGACTCCTTGTAACAAGTCGAAGACCCCGGTTTAAAATTCTTGTTTATGTCCATCTGTTGATATCACAATATATCTTTTATCATCGTTTCTACCATGGCTATTATTATAAAATATAGAGCTTTGCAATTTTGCATAGGCTTTGATATTATTCCTATGATGTTTGCATTGAAAATTGAATACATCACTCTCTTTGAACTCAAAATCTATCCCTGGACCATTATTTAATTTGAAATGTATTTTTTTTCTTTCAATTTCCTTACAGGCCCAAAAATAATCGCATATCTGCCGCCGCCATGGCTCCAGTTCAACGTGAACTTGTCTTCGATATAGATATGACGGATTATGATGATGTGCGCACGTGTTGCAGCGATAAAAGTGTTTGCCAAAAATGCTGGAAATTTATGGCAGTAGCTGCTAATATCTTGGATACAGCTGTTAAGGAGGATTTCGGCTGGGAACATATTCTCTGGGTATTCTCCGGACGACGTGGTATACATTGTTGGATATGTGATTACGAAGCCCGTCATCTCGATACCCAGGGACGTTCGGCTGTGGCGGAATATCTACAGATAATAAATAATGCAATGGGCTCGAATGGTGCCAGTGTTTCGCGGGTATTTATCGGCGAAAGAATGCATCATAGTGTCCGCAGAGCGTATCAAATTATTGAACCCGCCTTTGAGGAGATTATTTTAAGAGATCAAAATCTTTTTAGTTCACCCAAGGGCATAGAGAAGCTGTGTAACTTCATTGGCGATGAGGTGGCTCGCCAAGAAACCGAACAGTTTTTGCTCAACAATGTTGAAGATGGCGCACCCGCCCTAAAGGTGTGGGAGGCTTTTAAACGTTACGCCAATTCTATGCGCTGCAATGCCACACAGTCGGTATGGTCCCGACGTTTAAAGAATATCATTGAGGAAATACAATTGGCGTGTCTCTACCCGCGTTTGGATATAAATGTCACAAAAGGTTTTAATCATTTACTTAAAGCTCCCTTTTGTATACACCCCTCAACGGGTAAAGTTTGTGTCCCCTTTAATGCTAGTGTAGCTGGTAAATTCAATCCCACAACTGTGCCCACCATTGCCCAGCTGTTACAGGAAATCAATGCCTTCGATGAAAAGAATAAAGCTGAAGATGAGGCTGACGAAAAGTCACGTATTAAGGATTACAAAAAGACCAGCATGTTCAAAGGTGTAGTTGTGTTTGAGGAGTTTGTTCGCAAACTGGAGACTAGCTTAAAGGCCAAGTCTAAAAAACTGAATGAAATTAATATGGAATTTTAAAGCACCGTTTATATGTACAAACCTTTTTAATAAACATTTAAACTTTTTAGATCAAAACCTTGCTTCCATTTGTGTTTCCCATTCAAAAATTAGTTCATATTTTCTCTAATACGAAAAATGTTGTTACTTTATTTTAAATAAAAGGAATTTCTTTAGACTAAAAAACAAGCAATATGTATTTAAAGGCGTTCTGCGTGTACGGGGGATTTAAAAACATAATTCCAGGCAACATTTTTGCATACAACAGAGCTCGTCGTGCATCCTCATCCTCCTTTTTGTAGGCCGCTTTCTGTGGACTTATGCGAACCAAGATCATATACATTTCAGACGAACCAACGGTGAGCTATTTTCGGCTTTCTGTATATCCGCTTCCAAACGTACAAAGCCCTCTTCAGGTATGCTACTTGCCGCCTTGTGAACATTAACTTGAACAGTCTCTGTTCCAAAGCGTATTTGAAATGTTTCCGAATCCAGGGAGGATTCTTTTAATTTAATATTCAAGACCACAGTTTTTGGAAGTACATCACCAGGATTTAATAATTTCTGAGCATTAGCATCATCTTCAGGTGTTCCATGCCATATGGTTACTTCTTCTTCAACACAGTCACACTCCTCCGAGGGTTCAAGTACTTGTTTTTCGCTATCTACCAAGAACAGACTTTGACGGGCACATCCAACGGCTACAACCTCATCGGCCGAAATTGAGCTATTTATATCAGCATCAGGATAACGCGAGGATATGGCAGACTGTAGTTTGGGAATTTGTGTAGTGGCACCAAGTAAAACAATTGAATCGATCTTTTTCACATGTGGGTGGTTCTTCAGTGCCTTTTCCACATTCTCATTAAGCGTTTGCATAAAATTACTAATAACAGGTTGTATGAGACTTTCAAAGCGTGCCCGCGACATTTGTACATTAAAGTCCACACCGTCCATAAGGGAATCGATGTAAAGTTGTGTAGATGGCAGTGTTGACAGAATATGTTTACAATTGGCAGCAGCAGTACGTATTTTAGCCAATGAACGCCGGCTTTCGTGTGGATCTAATTTGTATTTACGTTGGAATTCTTCACATATAAACTTGACGAGTTCTTCGGTGAATTGTTGTCCTCCAATGGGGAATGGACCAAAACATTCAATTTTTGTATAGAGTCCATGTCTCACTTCATACAAAGCAAAATGTGAATAAATACCACCACATTTGATTGTCCATACATATTTTGATTCATCATTTCCATCTTCCTCGCCAATACCGTAGGCTAGTATAGCTGCCGTCGGCTCATCTACAATCTGAGCCACATGGAAGCCAGCCTTTTCCGCTGCTTTAGCCAGCAATGGCCAAGACTTCTCGGGATAATAACTGGGAATTGATAGCACCACCGTGGGTTTGCCTTGTTCATTGTAATATTGTTTGGCCAGCTCCAATTCTGATTCAAATAGCTTAACTTGCACAGCAAAGGCGGAGAGTTCTTTTGCCACTACCTTATCTTCGTCATCGTCTGATGGTTGGGTTGCTTTCAAAATGAACGTGTGCTTCTCACTGTTGTACTCACATGGTATGGTTCTCTGTGCCTTTGCCAGAAATTCTTCGGACATATCTTGGGGCTCTTTAAGGAATTGAAAACTATTGGCTACAGCCTGTTTCGGCTTAGAAGACATCTTTTGTTTCGCCGTCAAGCCACATTCAATCTCCTCTGCTCCATCCCATAGCAGACATGCTTGGGATGTTCTGTCACCCTGTTTGTTGGCTATCACATCGGGCTTTGTATCCGAGGGTTTAACTTGAGCAATACATAGGGTACTGTTGCCCACCTTTACACCGAAACGAGGCCACATTGTTTTTTGCAATTTTCTAATGTTCTTAACTAGGTATTTATTCACAAATTTTTAATAATTTCTATAAATTCTTTCACAAGCTAATCCTCCTTCTATGCTATAACCTTCGTCTGTCAAAAAAATTGCGGCATGGTGTTGAGGGATATCTAGATCGAGTTTCGAATGATTGGTGTTATCAATTATTTTGAATTAACATTTCGACAATTGTTTCATGTGAAATTAATATTTTGGACAACCCATTCAACTTTACAGAGTGTTGGTTATGGTATAAATGTAAAAATAAAAAAATGCATACATTTTTAGTTTAGTTTTACAAAATTAAGAAATATTTATGGAATTTTTATAAATTTTTTGGTTTTGATAGTAAAATTTGTGGAAGTTGATTGTAATCCATACTGGAGTGTTCTCCAAACATCGAAAAACATAAAGTTAAGGTGAGGGTACACCAGCAGCTTGGCATCATGGCCAGGCATATTAATGTCAGTTTATAGGTAGGAAACGAAAGCAGGATTTGAGTGCGGCTGTGGCATGATGTGTCACATAATATGCCATGCGAAGGTTTCAAGCTGCTTATGTACTCTCACCTCTATTCATTTATAAGTCCCATTCTACACACGAATAATATCATGTAATGAAATTTGATGAAACTAAGCATATATAAACCAATGAAGGGACGATCCGCCTAACGCGACTAATCACTTTACCTCCTTTGTCTTTCCGTTAATTTTTATTAATTGGTTATTAAGATTCATGCATTTTTAGAATCTGTGATATTTGGTTCACTATTTTTAAATATATTAAAACGGAATTGGAAATTAAATTTATTACAAAAATTCACCTTGTTTACATTTTCCTTCAAATTACTTTCGCACATAGCATACCCTACTTTCATTGTTATTTAGAGCAAGACAACAATAGTTCATAGAATTCCAAATGTTATCATTTCGCTTTGTATAACTTGCAACATCAAAAAGAAGAAGACTCGACTCGAATAATTTTTACTTCACTTGGATTCTCTCAGATAAACAATAATAATAATTTTTTTATTTCAACGAAAATTATATATAAAATATCGTAGATACAAAGCGTGATCGTGTGTTTGAATGTGGAAAACGAAGAATATATGAATAAGTGAAGAACACTTTGAGAAATGTTAAAAATCGTTGCAAAGATTTTTTTGCAAAGCGAAATGTGAAAAATGTACATAAAATTTGGGAGCAAGTTGAGTTTAGGGGCTATGCTCGGATCATTTTGAAATTTTTACCGCAGGTAGGTATTTGTAACCTGATTACGGCAATGTATTTTTTTTGTGGGGGAAATACCCGGTTACCCGGTTATTCGACCCAAAAGTTCGAATACAACATCCGGTTTGTATCCGGTTCTACGTAACCGATATCAATAAAATGGGTATCATTTGAAAGCTTATTAAAATACCTATCCAACAAGTGGTCATATGACGGGGTTGCTGGAACCGGTTTCGGAGAAATTTAGGAAAATTTGCATTTTTGTATGAGTACTTTTTGAAAAACCCATAAAAACTCGAAAATGGACCCATTATAGGGTCTTAAAATCTATACACTATATTATAGCTAACACTATTGCCTTTCCAAAATGGTGTCATATGTGTTGATATCTTTTGTGGTTCCGTGGATATAAGAGATAGAATTCATTAAATTATATTTTTCTCCAGTCTAGACGCATTTGACTTTGACCTTTATAGCTTTTTTAAGCAACCGGCCTTCGGCCGGGGCTTAAGATTTTCTCCTCTGGGGTATGTCCAACACCGGCTACGCGATCCATAGTTTTTCTAAAAATTGTACATTTTGTAAGTAGCCGGCCTTCGGCCGGGGCTTAAGATTTTCTCCTCTAGGGTATGTCCAACACCGGCTACGCGATCCATAGTTTTTCTAAAAATTGTAATTTTTGTAAGTAGCCGGCCTTCGGCAGGGGCTTAAGATTTTCTCCTCTAGGGTATGTCCAACACCAGCTACGCGATCCATAGTTTTTCTAAAAATTGTAATTTTTGTAAGTAGCCGGCCTTCGGCCGGGGCTTAAGATTTTCTCCTCTGGGGTATGTCCAACACCGGCTACGCGATCAATAGTTTCCTAAAAACTGTAGTTTTCGAAAGTAGCCGGCCTTCGGCCGGGGCTTAAGATTTTCTCCTCTGGGGTATGTCCAACACCGGCTACGCGATCCATAGTTTTTCTAAAAATTGTAATTTTTGTAAGCAGCCGGCCTTCGGCCGGGGCTTAAGATTTTCTCCTCTGGGATATGTCCAACACCGACTACGCGATCCATAATATTCTAACAACACCAAATTAAAAACAAAGCGGATTAACAAGAACGTTAAACCCGACACAAAACTTGGGTTCACTCAAACTGCTTTCATAAGTAACGACTTTAAAAGTCAATATCTTCGGAACTACAAAAGATATCAACACATGTGACACCATTTTGGAAAGGCAATAGTGTTAGCTATAATATTGTGTATAGATTTTAAGACCTTATAATGGGTCCATTTTCGAGTTTTTATGGGTTTTTCAAAAATTACTCATACAAAAATTCACATTTTCCTAAATTTCTCCGAAACCGGTTCCAGCAACCCCGTCATATGACCACTTGTTGGATAGGTATTTTCATAAGCTTTCAAATGATACCCATTTTATTGATATCGGTTACGTAGAACCGGATATAAACCGGATGTTGTATCCGAACTTTTGGGTCGAATAACCGGGTAACCGGGTATTTCCCCCACAAAAAAATTACATTGCCGTAATCAGGTTACAAATACCTACCTGCGGTAAAAATTTCAGGTCAATCCAAGCATAGCCCCTAAACTCAACTTATGCCAAAATTTGGCCCCCCCTTCAAAGTTAATTGAGTGTGGTGTCAAACAATAGCCAGCAGCCAACCTCAGCCCCACTTCATTGTAATCAAAACGCAGTAGAAGGAAAAAAGAAACACAGCCGATTCGTCATCGTCATCGGCCATTGAAAAAGTAATAAAACAAAAGTTTACTTTCATGTGAAAGCATTTTATCAATAAATAAAAAAACAATGAAATATATTGCATAAAAAATTACATTGTAAACATTTACCACCCCCCAAACTGCAAACGTGAGAACGCAAAACGTTCGTTTTATCTAACATGGATGATAATTTAAGCACAAAATCTTCCGAATCGTCTATAACAACCAGTGGAGAGTATGAAATCGTTACGGATAGTAATGTAACATCACCCATGGATCTAGAGCAGCCCTCATTGGATATTGCAAATAATCGCAATATCTCGGATATACAAAATGCCATGACAGATGCATTGGCAGAATTGGAACTTGACAAATCGAGTGAGGGTATGTATGCCTCTTAGTTGTTGGCTGTATATTTGTTTTTTCATAAATTATTGCAACTTAAGTAGGTGAAGTAGTAGCTGCATAGTATCCTTTTAGAAAACCAACAGACTAGGATGTATGGGGGTATATGCTTGCTCACACACATTTATTTTCATTTGTTCCGTACATAGTATAATGCAATTGACTGGGGAGTATCGTTTTTTCGTTTTCTTTTAATAATTGTCATGAGTGTGTCTTGTCTTTGGTAACCACCAACTCTTATCATTGTTGAAGAAGATAGGCAGCTGCATATTGATTTCTTTCCATTTTTTGTTTGTATATACCAAGAAGATTAAATAGAATTGTTTGAATTAAAGTAAAAATATATTATTTTGACCAAATTATTATTCTAAAGAAACCAGGTTAGAAATGCTTAAACAGTGCCGAACTTTTTATACCCTCCAGCAAAACACACGTTGCCATAATATGGAATAACTAGGGTAAATTAATTTGAAATTTGAGCTATATCAAATAGTAGAGCTGCATACAAAACTATCCAATGAAAATCTGAAACTGTAAGGTGGATATTGTGTTAGATATCATAAAAATACAAAATCAGGCGACTATTATTCGATGAGAAATTGGAACTAGAGAAATCTCTGACCCATTTGGAAATTTTTGCTAAAACCTTTAAAATTCCCAAACAGGGTGGCATAACCGAAACGTGACGTATGTTTTTGAGGTGTATTAAAAATGTTGACTCTATATTGGTTTTAACAAACCGATGGGTATCACCAAATTTGAAATATTGTATCGTATGCGTTCTCCAACGAATATTATGAGATGTTTCAAGACTAGTTTATATAACGCCACAGCTCTCATATATGTCTTTATCAAATTTCATATTTAAACCTTTTCAAAATCATAATAAACATTCTCTAGATGGCAAAGATATTCCATACAGCAATATAGCTTACAGCCTAGAAATACTTCACCTAATTTTTTTGATTGCACTTGTTGCAGAAGTACCAATATTCATTCATAATAAATGAGGAACTAACGAAAACATAAAGCTCATATTTGATAAGGAAATTTAAAAAGATATCCAATTTAAATACAACAATGCGATCGCATTGGTTTTCGTTGAAACAGATATGAAATTGATAAAACAGTTGAACTCACGTATACTCTACGCCACTATGTGAACAGTTTGATTAAATCCAGAAGTTTGTAACAGCTCGATGTGCCATAGACTCACTATGTACTAAGTAGGTCATATCTAGGCCGAATTTCCAGAAGCGTAGAATTCATCTATAAATATAGGAAAACATTTTAACAATCTTAAAAAATGTAAAAAATATAACATTTTTAGTTAAAAAATGTCAAAATTTGCATTGGACATTTCATTGTTTAAAGTCACTTTAGTCATATACCGGGGATATAGATAAACAGATACCACGTCCACATTTTTATACCTCCCTCCACCAGAGACCTATCTGGAAATGCATATCAAAATAATTTGTGTTGGTAAAAATATTGGAATGTGTGAAATATGAGAAAAATCGGAAAATTATTTGTCATTTTAGTTATTCAAAATTTTGACCCCTTTGTGGGGGATCTGTGTTGATGTATTGATAGAAATAATGGAATGTGTGTAGTTTGAAAAGAAACATTGTTTTATGAGCGATTTTGTTATTCAAATTTGGGCTCCCTTGTGAAGAAGGTACCAGAAGGCTGCTTTCTTCCATCTTTACACGCGTGTCGGATTGAAATATTTAGATGTGTGAAAATTGAAGATCAAAATATTATTCGGCACTTGAAGAGAATTTTTGTAATTCAAAATTTTGAACTTTTATACTTTTCCACCAAATGGCGTGTGAGTAGACAAATTTAGTTATTAAATTTTTTGACCACTTCGTGGGCGAGGTACCAGGCGGAATGGTCCGCTATAGTATATCTTCAAAGCAAATTTTGTAATGACAGAAATCATCGGATACGCGAGGAAACATAAATATTGGGATCTGTGTTTTTGGAAAAGAAACAGGATTCCCTTGTGAAGAAAGTACCAGAGGAGTGGACTGATCTCCTCCATCTTTACACCAGATCGATGTCGGATCGAAATATCGGGATGTGTGAAATTTGAAGATCGGAATATTTTTTGGCATTTTAAGAGCATTCTTGATATTCAAAATTTTAAACTTTTATAGTAGAGGTACCAGAAGGAGTTGGCCGTCTTAACAACAGATTTTGTTTTGATATAAATATTGGGATATGTGAAGTTTGAAAAAAATCGTATGCTTTTTGGGCATTATGTAAGCCCCTTGGTTATTCATAATTTTAACTCCTTTGTGGGAGAGGTACCAGAAGGAGTAGGCCGATATTATCTATTCTCGCACCTGACATTGCGGTGATAAAAAAAATTGAAGTTGTAAAATTTTGACCTTCTGTGTGAGAGGTACAAGAAACCGTGGATCCAGATGAAATTTTGCACAAGTCATTTAGATATTGCTCCCATATATATTTTCGCCCGGTTTGCTTTTGTGCTCCAAACGTGTAATATCAGCCCAAATAGTATGGAATTTTGCACATACGACCAAATTAGGCCTGTAAAAAGTATGCCAAATAAGATCGAAATCTGTTCAGATATAGCTATAGCTCCAATATATATTACTCCTCCAATTTGATATTTTTTTCTCCGCAGCCGAAATATGCACTCTGTAACAACGATATATATATAAAAATATCCGACTTTTAAGTTGCAAATTAATGCCCTAATTATAACACCTAGCATTACTAAACTAGGAATTAGGCTTCGAATTGATTCGCAATAGAAACAAATTTTTTAGGTCAATACTTAAACAGATTTGTTCATGCTAATCAAAATGGTTTTAGATCTAGAGACAGTGGTGTAGATCGTTCCCGCTCTTGCTTTTTCAACTATTAACTTTTCTGGTTTTATTTTCTTCTTTTAATATTAATTTTTTGTTATTCCAGTTTATGTATCCGTAAGAAGTGACTATCCCCAGCTGAATATTTGTAATAGTACCCCCTAGGGATTACAGTTAAGTAAGTTAAGGGTTTGCTCATGACAGCCAAAAGGGATTTACATCTGAAGAAAATTCAACTTTAAGGGTAGTGGTGTAGGGTATCTTGTGGTTCGCCTTTGTTTTAATATTTATTTCACTATTTATGAATCGATAAGAAGTGACAATCTTCAACTGAACCTTTGTTATAACTTCACACAGTGAAGACAGCTGTGTAAATCAATGTTGCTGTAGATTGAAAACAAAATCAGTTAACAATTGGCTGCTATGGTAACAACACACTTTATACTCCAATGCCCTTAAAAAATGTGTGTTGCACATGACGCCCCCTTTCTGGCATTTTTAAGTTCCAAAATTAAATTCGTATACAAATAATATTCTCTCACAACTAGGTATACAACAACAAATTGTACTTTATCAATCACTGCTTTTCATAAAAAATTCATTCACACACGCAGTTTTTATGTCATTTTTTTTCTTCTTTCTTTCCATTTTTTTATTTCTTTTCAGGTGGTTCAAGCGCAGCAGCAGCAACAACAGCAATCAGTGTTAAACAGAAATCACTAACACTACCCCTGACGGGCACAACAAGTCCTGCTTTGGTGGTACCCCAACAATTGGATAAGTCCAAAGATAACGCTGCCACAATGAAAACAAAAACTCTGGTCAATCATTTGAGTGGTAATGCGGGCAGTAATACGCCAACACCCAAAAGTGATGATTCCACCTCGGACTTAAATCGTGTGGGACAATCAGTATTTTACGATTGTACAGATGGTAATGCAGCAACACCACCCCTAACACAGGAGCTACCCCTTGGCGAAAGGGTAAAAGGTGATGGGGCCGATTTGGATGAAAAACAGGATATTATGAAACCAGAAAAGAATGACACCGATGATGACAGTAAGTTTCATAATCAAATAAAGAAAATTGAATATTTCAATTCTCTTTTGATATCGATAGTTTCAGAAATCGATCAAGGCTGCACGATTTTCTCGGGTGTCACCTATTTGGGTGCGGCCAATATCAATGCCCCCAAATCGGAAACGGATGTCTATCGCATTATGAGCGAATTGAATAGCGGCACCTCAGCCGATGGCCTAAAGATCTCCATTAGCATTCCGAATTGTTCGGACGGTCTGGTTGTTTTGCACGATGCCGAAACCAACAGCAAAATACAAGCCTATGAAGTACAAAGTATAATTTTATATTTTCGTGGACCGATTGAAACCGTTGAGCATGGTTGTTTTGCTTTCACCTGGTTGCATGGTGAATCGCTGTTTCAGTGTCATGTATTTCGTTGCCATATACCGGAGGCAGTAAATCAAGTTAGCGGTGAGTAAAGATAAACCATATCATCAACCATCCGTTGGTGGTAAACTTCAGCTAAAATTGTAAGTTCATACTATTTTGTTCTTTTTTTAGCCTGCTTCCAAAAAGCTTTCCAAACCTATCCGCCCAGCATGACGTGCAGCCTGATTTCGGCCACCGAGAATAATATGATGAATTCCATTACTTCCGACATAAGTGGTAATCCCCTTAACACGGCCGGTTATGAATTCCATGTATCACTTGAGATAAGAGAAAAGGTGGCTAAAAACTCCTATGCTCCGGTACCACGTGATCGTGGTACATTTAAATTACGAGCAAATACCGACAAAGAAGTCTACATCACAGTTAAACAAACACCGTCGACAGTATTGCAACCTTTGTTTATAGATCGCTGCTTTGGAGTTCTCCTGAGTCCCGGCAAATTGGTGAGGCAGGCAGATATGCGTTTAATCGATATGATATCCATGGGCTATGTGCAACAATCTGCTTCCTCGAATAACAGTAGCTCAGGAGGTGGTGGCAGCGGCGATGCTCCACCACCCATTACGCCACTTTGTTTGAATCCCTATCACATACAGGCCGAATGGAAGACAAGTGAAAAAGCATTTGAACAATTAAATGTTGAAACGTCAAAAACTTTTCTAACCGTAGCTGTGGACATTGTTATGCGCGGCATACAGGAACCCGTGCGATTCGTCATTGAAACTCCCGTCACCATACAGTCGGCTGGCGAGCTACGAATCATGGATCATTTCATTTCTAAACGTCCCATGACATTACGTTTTTATTTACACTTAAAACGTACAACCGATGAATTCAGCTGGAAAGTAAGTTCAATAGATCCCGCCGAAGAAATCATTGAACAGCCACAACAAAGCTCGTCATCGTCGTCGTATTTATTGAAAATTGGCATGAACAATTTGCAGCGCATTGTACGTTCATCGTCGATTGCCTCCATTGAAGATGATTGCCCAACAGATTCGGAAGATATGTCCGATGGAGATGAACCTCTACTAAGTGGTACTGGTGAAGTACCAAGAGATTGTCCCCAAAACACATTGGATGAATGGGATCCCGTCCTAAGGGAATGGGATGGAGAGAAAAGACCCAAAAACTTGGCACCTTTGGTTCGAGTCGGTATACCGGAGGCAATGCGTGAAATGATTTGGAAGAAATTGGCTGGCATAGAATCTAAAACAGAAATGCTTGACATGTATAAGATTTTAATAACCAAAGTACGTTTTATTTTCTCAATATTGTTTAAGAATAGTAAAAAAATAGAAAATGTTTTTTTTTTTGCAGGAAACCAAATGTGAGACTGTTATATTACGGGATATACATAGGACATTTCCAGCTCACAAATGTTTCCGGGAAACAGGAGGGTCTGGTAAGTATTTTAAACAAAAAATTTTTCAAAAACAATTACTAATTTACAAATAATTTAATTTAGCATTCACACAGAATCAAGTTCATAAAAGAAATCCAAAATTATTCGGGAATGGGAACTTTAAGTGCCTTTTATGAAATTGTCTGTGTCTATATATCAAGTAATTTCTTTAAATAAATTTAATTTAAACTCTCTTTTATTTAGGTCAAGATGCCCTTTTCAAAGTTTCCAAGGCCTATGCTGTGTATGACAGCGAGGTTGGATATTGTCAGGGTCTAAGTTTTATAGCTGCCAGTTTACTTCTGCACGTAAGTTTTTGATAATAAAGAAATATTTCTTTTTCAATGTCTTATTTTTTTTATTCTTGCAGATGCCCGAAGAGGATGCTTTTTGCGTCCTAGTCACACTAATGTATGATTATGGCTTACGTGATCTTTACAAGCAAGGCTTTGAGGCATTATATTTACGACACTATCAGCTGGAACGTTTGATCAAAGATCAATTACCCAAATTACATGAACATTTCCTCAATTGTGGCATTGAGACGCATATGTATGCATCACAATGGTTTCTAACCCTGTTCACAGCACGTTTCCCGTTGTGTTTTGTTTTTCATGTACTCGACGTTTTCCTCTTGGATGGCATTAATGTTCTATTTCAAGTTGCCCTCACACTGCTGTCAATATGTGAAAATGATTTGCGTCAACTTGATTTCGAGGGTATTCTAAAATATTTCCGTGTCACTTTACCCAAAAAATGTCGCAGTCCCAGCCAGTCGACAAAAATAATGAAAATGGCCTGTGAACGTAAAATTAAGAAACTTAAACTCTACGAAGATGAATTTAAACTACAGAAACAGGACAAGGAACGTTTGGAGAAAGAGTCACAAATCTATGAGAATCGTTTTGGTGCCGAAAGGCGAAAGCTACAAAGTGAAATAAATGAACTTCAGCAAAAATTAGCGGAGGCTAATGAACGTGCCATTGAGCGGGAGAAGAAGCATACGAATATTATACAGGATTATAAACAGATTATACAACGTTTGGAACAGGATATGACAACAATGAATGAGACATTGGGAAATTTAATGGTGAGAATATGATTGGAATATTTTCTTAAAAGAAATAATTAAGATTTGTGGATTTAAAAAATCGATTAAAAAATTATATTTTTATTAGATATAGAAAACCTATTATATACAGAAAAGTTTAAGATATTTTCCTAATATGATTTTTCGGCTTTACATAGTCTATTGCCTAAAGAAGACCCATTGAAGATATGTAATTATCGAATTTCTATACATGATCTTTCATCCATAGACTTTTTTAATTAGTTTACAGCCTTCAATCTAAAGGAAGGATATTTATACCCTACAAATATATTTGTTTTGATTTATATTAGGAAATATTTTTGACTAACCTATCTCCCATTTTTTGTCTAATCCAGAGCACCGTGGCTAAATGTGAAAATTGTTCCAAACACATTGAAAAGGACATGCACGCCAACAATGCCATCAATCCAACAATGTCGTCCAACAGTCGGAACGACAATCGATCTCCAACAAATATTAATACAAATGCAAATGAAGCCACTTTGGGTCCGTTGGATCCCCTAAATGCAGCACTCCAGCATATACGTGAACTAGAACTGGAATTGGCGCAAGCAAAGTTGGCCCAGGTCGAAGCCGAATGTAAAAATCAAGATTTAAATCATCAACTGAGTACCACAATTACAGAGATGCAATCGAATCGTAACAGTTGGCAGCCATGGTTTTCCAAGACATTAAATACTCTACAAGAAAAGGTGACGCCACGCAACAATCGTGAACAGCAAGCTTCATTTCAGTCGTATATGTCATCGGCGACTGGGAGTGAGACAAATTCACCATCTGGACATCAGGTATCTTAGTGTATAGTTATACGCTTCAAATGACACATCATTACAGCACATTACAGTTATTTATCAGTTGCCAAGAATGCAACTGATTGCACCGATATCGAATTAATTTTTTTTATTTTATAATATCCCTGCTTTCATTAAATTTACTTATCTTTTGTTAAACATGACAATAACTGTTATATATACACACTTTATTTATTCTATTTTGTGAAAACATATATACCTTAATTTCTAATTTATGTTATATTTATATTATCTAATAATATACTCTCGTTTATTGTTTACATAAAATTGCTTTTTCCCAAAACAAAATACAAAGCCAGTCCTTAGGAGCTTAAAGCCCCGCCTAACTTTTCTGCTTTCAAAAAATAAATGCAATATTCTTTTCGAATCTTTTAGTTTTTAGTTTATTTTCCTTATTTGTTATATTTCGTCTAAGAATTCCCAGATAAAAACATACTGTAAATATAATCAATCAACAAAGAAAAATAAATTAATGCAAACGTTATGGTGTCTTCTTTCTTTGTGTCTGTTATTGTTTTTTTCCTAATTAAATAATTACAGGAATTCAAGGCATTCTCTGTGAGTAACTCACCCAAATTGCCATCAAAATTCCAGGCTGCCCGTCTACGCAACAGTATTGATAGCTTACGCAATATAATGGTGGTACCTTTGGAAAATACTGGAAAACATCTTTTGAATGAGACTTTAAAACAGCACCAACAACAACAGCAGCCCCAACCACAACCACAGCAACTGCAGTAATTATTAATAATGTACTATTTGTGTTAATTATTCACAAACTCAGTATAACATTCCGAACAATCGCAATGTACTAAATATATACAGAGAACAAAAAAGAAACAAATACAGAATTAGACGTGAAGGAAATAGTCCTTTATGTTGTATCCTACACCTCTTTTTTCGAGAACTATGGAGGCTTATTAGTGTCTTGATGCGATTTGTAATTTATTTGTTTTATTTGTAATTTCATGGTTGATTTTTAGTTTATTTTTCATCAATCTTTGTAGGCTTTTAAAGTAAAGCATTGAAGATGAGATTTGTTGTTATATGGTTTTTTGAAGATTTAGGATTTAATTTCCAATTAAATCATCTGTAATTTGATGTTTAAGTTCTTTGTAGGTAGATTAACTTCTCGCAAAATATATCCAGTGTAGTTCCTATATAATTGTACTTCCTAATCTTTGGTATTTGGAACATTTAAACCCCAATTTTGACATTTGTCATTTCGGATGCTCAGTGGAAAGTTAAACTCCTCACCTAAAATATTCAATTAAGGTCCACTTCTTGGTGCACAACCCATTTGGTAAATATATCCTCAGCCATATGGCTAGAGAGGGTACATATCATTTGATACGGTCAAATCGTGCTTCATTGAAATAACGGTTTTAAATCCTAGGTCTCTTTGAACCAAATCCATTTCAGGACATTTGGTATCGATCTAGCGATGTCCTTTCTTTCCGTCCTTTCCTCTGTCTGGCTGGTGCTCACGATAACTCTCGAAGGGAGTACCCAATTTGATCCAAACTGAGTACATTGTTATATTATTGTCAAACTTGGATCGAGTTCGGAGATGGGCAATATCGGTCTACTTCTGGTACCTCCCCACAAAATGTCAACACAGAAAGAGAAAGGATAATCCGATTTTGCTCCAACTTTGTCAATCCTTATATTTGTATCAGTGTTAGGTCAGGTGCGGACAATATCGGTCCACTGCTTTAAGAACCTCCCCCCAAAGTTATATCTATAATAAAATGTGATGTAAGTGTCCCTTTATCTTCAAATTACACACATCACAATATTTTTATTGATCCAAAATCTGATGTGAAGATAGAATATATTGGTCCACTTTTTCTGGTATCACTCCCACAAAGGGTCAAAATTTTGAATATTCCTAAAGCTAATAAAACACGAAATTAACATCCGATTCCATTCAGAATTGGCACATCTAAATAATCAGCACAAGATCTGTTATGAAGATGGAAGAGATCGGACCATTCCTTTTGGTACCTCCACCACAAAGGGTCAAAGTTTTGAATAACCAAAACGTTTATTAAATCGGAAATATGCATCCGGTTCTATTCATATTTCACACATCCCATTATTTCTACTAACATAAGATCAGCTGTGACGATGGAATATATATATCGGCCCACTCCTTCTAGTACCTCCCCCACAAAGGGTCAAATTTTAGAATATCCTTGAAGCTCATAAAACGCGAAATTAACATTAGATTCCATTCAGATTCAGAATGCAGGATCTGTTGTAAAGATGATATAAATCTGCGAACCCCTTCTGGTACCTCACCCACAAGCGGTCGCAATACTTATTTCTACCATAACTTGCGAAATAAGTCAGCGATTCTTCAGAAACCTGAGGTGAATATGGATTTATGATTTTGCACGTCGCAATATTTATATCATATTTATTTAGCTGCGATACGAAATTGACAATATTGGCCCAATCCTTCGGATCCCAAGTCATAGATAGTCAACAATTTGAATAATCATGACAGAAGTCAAAATATTTTTAAATAATCGGACATTGGCTAAGGGTATACATCTGTCGCCAAAACCGTCTGATACTTTTTAAATTGTTTTTTGAAGATTTTGTTCCCGATTTCCAACCAAATAACATGTAAATTGAAATCAGTGTGTAATTTAACACCTTGCAAAAAATATTCAATGTACATTCGTATTTGGAAGATGTCCCATATAATGGTATAACTTGATGTTACATATTTTAAGGTTTTGGTCCCCATTACAAATTAAATCAGCTATATTTTGAAATTTTGGGATCTCAGTGGGTAGTTTAACTCCTCGCAGAAAATATTCAGTGTTAGTCCGCTCTCTGCTGCATTTCGGTATTTTTTCAAGGTTTTTGGACCTAATTTCCTACCAAGTGAACTTTAGGTACATATTTCGGCTTCTCAATGGGATAGTTCTACATCTCGAAAAAATATTCAAAGTAGGTCCGCTTTTGGTACAACCCTCTCCTGATTTTCGGTATTTTGAGACTTCGGCCCATCTTTCCGGTCAAATCGACGTTATAATTTTTATTTTTAATCAACCGAAATTTTAATTTTTATTTGACTCAAAGGTGTAGGAAAAAAATTTTCTTAACAAAATCACAACGGCAAACAACACTCCTGAAAGGGCAATATACAAATCATGTGATTTTGAGTAAAATTTAATTCTCTCCAATTAGTCATCAATAAAAAATTAATAGTAATAACAACAACAAACACGAAGTAACATTGCAAACTTCACATTTAATGGAAATACACTCTCACACACACAGACACATTATATTTATGTAGTATAAAATAAGGGCTTATAGATTATATATTTCTTCGCAAAATAAAAAATCTCGAAAAACAATACAAGTATATAAATACATACATACATACATTTATCTATATATGTATTAATGTAATAAGTAACAAAAGGGAAATATTAATAATAAAACACATATATTTTTTTTGTTATGTTAAAACACAAACTTGATGAACAGGGATTTACTAAATACCTATCTAAGCTAGTATTTCTGTTTTGCTCCTAATCAATTTGCCTTATACTGACGGTCGAAAGATCAATGTTATGCATTTCGAAAAAAGTGAAATTTATTTACACATCCTACTGTTTCCTCCTCAATCCGATACTCTCAATTATTTTTAGGGATTCTACTGCGCTATAATTTCTCCTTATTTTTTACATTTTTTGTAAAGAGGATTAATTTTATATTTTTCAATTAACAAAATGGCAATTAATTTGTTATCAGATGTTTATACTCAACAATTTTATGACATTCCTTTTTTGAAAAAATAAGATTTAATCCATCTCTAGCTAGATTAAATGTAATTATTTCAATACCAATAAAAGAGGTTGAAAATGTTTGCTAACCTTTTTTACTTTAAATTTACAGGTTTAAAGATCTTTTATAAAAAGATTTAATTTTAGATAACTTACCCAAATTATTTGCAAATTTTATTTGAAATAATTATCCATGGTGTATATAAACATACATAGTTGTCAAAAGTTAATATATGTTTATTCCAGTTTCTCCCAAATATTTTTTAAACTTCTATTCTACTATACACCCACATACACACCACACATACTACACCCTAAATGACTCAAAATGAAATAAATAAATTACAAAAAAAAAAAAAACATATAACCACATATTCGTTTTGTTTTATTTAAATCCGCATGGAAAGGATAAAAATCGGATGAGGTCGACTACCCAATACCTTACACAAGGTTACATTTTCCATGTAAAATGTACAAAAATGGCAGAAATCATGTCCATAATTGAATTCGCTTATTCGGTTCATATTTGGAATCGCATGGATTATGTATCTGAGAGTTTTATATGAATATGAATCTACCTCCATTAATTTTGACTGAGGTATATGTAGACTGTATAAAATATATCGTACCAAACATCAATGCAACAGTTAGCATATAATGGGTTTGTAAAGGCTTAGATATTATGTCAGGCGAAAAATAGTTATGGAACATACAGGGTGAGATGAAAAAACTACAACTAACTTCAGACTGTTGTCATATCTAAGCCACTCCTCCGAAAGCTTTTAAAATTATTCCAGTGACAGCTCATTATATTGTTTACAAGAGTACAAAAGCATTTTGGTGAGAATTTTTCAGAAAAAAAGTTATTCGTGATGGAATTCAAGCGTGATAGTGTGATTTTTTTATATTTGACTGGAAAACAACAAGTGGCTATCGTTAGAGCACTCCAGCATTTAAATGTGAATAAATCTTTTGTGTCTCGTACCATCGCTCGTTACCGTGATACTGGTTGGGTAGTCCGACGTCAAGAAAGTGGACGGAAGAAAGAAGCAACATAAGCAGAAATGGTTCGAAAGGTAAAGAAGCGACTTGATCGAAACCCGCTTCTCAGTGGCCGAAAAATGGCTCTTAAGCGGAACATATCGCAATGTTCCATTCGGCAAATATTGAAAAATAAGCTCGGGGTAAAGCCAAGGAAGTGAACGGAAGAAAGAAGCGAAATAAGCAAAAATGGTTCGAAAAGTAAAGAAGCGATTTGATCGAAGCCCGCTTCTCAGTGGCCGAAAATGGCTGGTAAGCTGAACACATTCCAATATTCCATTCGGCAAATATTGAAAAATGAGCTCGGGGAAAAGTCATTGAAATTCCAAAAAGTGCAAGAACTTACACAGCAACAGAAAGCAAATAGATTCAAAATATGTAAAGAGTTACTTCGCTTGGCCGAAAGTGGTGAACTGCCGAATTTGGTTTTCTCCGTCTCCGATGAGAAAACATTCGTTGTTCAGCAGTTTGTAAACAAACAAAATGATCGTGTTTACTTGCCAAAGAGGTCAGCTGAAAATGTGCACCTTCGGTTGGCCACAAGAACTCAAGCGCGGCCATGGTGATGGTGTGGGCCGCCATAACAGCCGATGGACGCTCTTCGCTCGTATTAATCGACCGTGGCATCAGAATATATGTGGAAATTATCTCGAAAATATTCTGAAGGGTGTATTAAAGCCTTGGGCGGGCAAACATTTTGCCCACAGACCTTGGACATGCTAACAGGACTCAGCACCATCGCACTCAGCACGCGCCACCCAAGAATGGTTACAAAATGAGGTTCCTCGCTCCATTTCCAGCGCACAATGGCCACAAAAATGTCCGGATACCAATCCGTTGGACTATTGTGTCCGGAGTATTTTGGAAAGCAAAGTTGGCACTAAAAATACCAAAGTGTGGATCACCTCAAGCAAGCGCTTCGCCGGGAATGGGCCAAAATATCGCAGAGCAACATTGGGGCGGTGTGTGACGGTTTCATTGGCCGTTTGAAGGCCATAATTCGTGCTAAAGATGACCAATTCGAACTAATCTAAACGTATTCGAAAATTTGATGCTATTTCCGGCATTTTTTGCTTTCATTCAATAAAATTTAAAAAAATGTAAAAATTATGGCGTTTGAATTTGGCCAGGAACTCTTTGTAATAATTCACGATACCTGGAGTCCTTAATTTTTTAATTTTTTTTAAGTCAATGTCAAATCAAAGTCCTTGGAAATTTATTCTTAAAAATCGTTGATTTCCTTACAGGAATTAAATCTAAAAATATTATAGCAAAAAAAAAATAAACAAGATTTTAGTCAGGATGGCCCTTGCTTTATTTAAATCAACAATTCTATTCCAGAGGTCCTTGAAAAAATCTTCAAACATTGCCATTTTACAGGAAGTTTATATTTTAATTTCAAAAAATACTTCGAAATTGCAACTTAACACCAGATTAAAATTTGTACACAAGATACAACTTTCAAATGTTTGATGAGTAATTTCATATTTTTGAAGAAATTATGCTGATGCCATATATCTGTCTTGTTTGTTTACAAATCGATTAATCTAATCAAATAAAACAATGTTAATTTATTTTATTGGTTTTCCTTTTTTTGTTGGCTATCATTCATCACACCACTCTTCTGTTTTTTTTGTTTGTTAGTTTACTTACATACATTGTTTGTTGAATTGCATAAGCATATAATCACCTATAAATACATACATACATACCTACCTACATACGTATACACATACATAACCTTAAATTAAATATATCGTCGATTCCTTGCTATCACTATTCGTAATTTCACTAACACTTTCGAAACTTTGCAGCAGATTAGCCGACGAGCTACGCTTGATGGTGTTCTGCTGCCGGGCATCATTGAAGCGGCCGGAATTTGTAAAGGATTTACTGCGACAGTGGCGGCGGCGATTGCGTGCAACACCATTGTTGCCGCCACCACCGCCACTGCCACCTCCATAACTGCTCCCGGCCACTGTGGTGTATTTGGTTTTATTGTTGTTCACCGTTCTAAAGGGATTATTGACTCCGCTGAAACAAGAAATACTGCGTTCATCATCATCATCACTGTCCTGCTCAAGACTGGTCATTATCAGTTGCGTGGTTATGGCCTCATTTTGATTTGCACTATGACTTTCCGTATATAACGAAGACGAACTGGCCTCTTGAGTTTTATTCCCACTGCTGCTGCAGCTGCCCGTGCCTTTCGCTCGGGGCATATTGAAACTTATGCCATTATCATAGGATGGATCTCGCGATATATCCGAGATACAATTGCTGGTGTTGTTGCTGACAATGGACCGTAGATCATGCGCCAATATGGAGCCATAATTCTGCGAATCACCATAGCACGACCAATCGCTTAGAAATGATTCAGGTGAGGAGAAGGTGGGACGTAAACGTTGCACCCGATAGCCTTTGCCATCGTTGTTCATAACAATCCATGTTTTCTTCAAATATGTGTGTTCAGTACAATTGACAGAACTCTTGGGTCGAGTTGTAGCTGAAAAGAGTAGAGAAGGAAAGGGGTCACAATAAAGGTGAAATGTTGTTTTTTGTAACTTTACCTTCATTAATATTTTCGTTTATGGCAATACCAGGGACTGGAGCAGACACTGGATGCATGACACCCAATGTGCAGGATATATTCAAGGAATCATCACAAAAATCTCGAGCACTTTCTTCCATCTGGGGTGTATTGGGGGAGCTGTAAGAAAGAAATATTGTATTGATTTTAAATTTTATTCAAATTTTATTATTTTTTGCAAGGTCCAGCTGAAATCGTGGATTTTATTAAAATATCTTTCAAGTTCCAGCTGAAGACGTGAATTTTTTTAAAATATTTTTTAAAGTTCCAACTGACGTCTTGGTTTTTTTTTAAATATTTTTTCAAGTTCCAGCTGACGTCTTGGATTTTTTAAAAATAGTTTTTCAAGTTCCAACTGAAGTCTAATATTTTTTAAAAATATTTTTCAAGGTCCAGCTTAAGACGTGGATTTTTTAAAAATATTTTTTCAAGGTCCAGCAGAAGACGTGGATTTTTTAAAAATATTTTTTCAAGGTCCAGCAGAAGACGTGAATTTTTTAAAAATATTTTTTCAAGGTCCAGCAGAAGACGTGGATTTTTTAAAAATATTTTTTCAAGGTCCAGCAGAAGACGTGGATTTTTTAAAAATATTTTTTCAAGGTCCAGCTGAAGTCGTGGATTTTTTAAAAATATCTTTTCAAGGCCAGCAGAAGTCGTGGATTTTTTTAAAATTATTTTTTCAAGGCCAGCAGAAGTCGTGTATTTTTTAAAATTATTTTTTCAAGGCCAGCAGAAGTCGTGTATTTTTTAAAATTATTTTTTCAAGGCCAGCAGAAGTCGTGTATTTTTTAAAAATATTTTTTCAAGGCCAGCAGAAGTCGTGTATTTTTTAAAAATATTTTTTCAAGGCCAGCAGATGTCGTGGATTTTTTAAAAATATTGTTTCAAATCAAGTAGATGTCGTGGATATTTAAAAATATTTTTTCAAGTTCCAGCTGAAGTCTAATATTTTTTAAAAATATTTTTTCAAGGTCCAGCTGAAGTCTAATATTTTTTAAAAATATTTTTTCAAGGTCCAGCTGGAGACGTGGATTTTTTAAAAATATTTTTTTCGGTCCAGCTGAAGTCTTAAATTTTTTAAAAATATTTTTTCAAGGTCCAGCTGGAGACGTAGATTTTTACAAAATATTTTTTCAAGGTCCATCTGAAGACGCGGATTTCTTAAAAATATTTTTTTTGGTCCAGCTGAAGTCTTAAATTTTTTAAAAATATTTTTTCAAGGTCCAGCTGAAGCGTGGATTTTTAAAAATATTTTTTCGGACCAGCTGATGTCTTGAATTTCCAGCAGAAATCGTGGATTTTTTAGAAATATTTTTTGCGGACCAGCTGATGTCTTGACTTTCCAGCAGAAATCGTGGATTTTTTTTAAATATTTTTTTCGGACCAGCTGATGTCTTGAATTTCCAGCAGAAATCGTGGATTTTTTTAAAATATTTTTTCGGACCAGCTGATGTCTTGAATTTCTAGCAGAAATCGTGGATTTTTTGAAGTGCATTTTCCAAAATTAATTTATCAGAAGTCGAGAATTTTTTTCAAAAATATTTTTGGACATGACTTAAAAAATTATTTTTTTAATGGAGTCCATTTTTTTTAAATTTCACAATACTCACGAATTGGGTGTTATGACGATATTCTCGATTACAGCTGCGGCCGGGAGGCATTGGCCCATCTGCCCCTTACAATTACACTGGCATGTAGCTTGCGCTGCCTCTGTCTCTGATGCTTGAGACGTGCCTGCAATACCTGCAAACGAGATTCTTTAGTTGATATAGAAAACAGGTTCTCAAAATAGGCGAGAGGTGGGGTGCGGATACTATTGAAAAATATTCATTTCATATTACCACAATTTTGTGTTGCTCTTGCCACCTGCTGAACCAAATCCGGCGTAGTTACTACGGTCGGCGTTACAACACTGGCTGTGGCACCCTCTAGCTCCATTAGGGTTTCGGGGGTGCTGCGTAAGTTGTAGATTTCGGAAGCTGCTGCCGATGTTGAGGGCATATCGCTGAAATTGTGTATGGGTACGGTGGAGGAGACCGTGGTGTTGCTGTTGGCTCGACTACAGCTGCGATCGCGACGTCGTCGATGATGTTTGCGCTGGCGATCACGTGGCTCACGCATTTCATGATCCATGCCGATTTTTATCACCTCCTCATAGTCGGGTGGGGCCTCATAGCTGGGAGGTTCATCGGGAATGATTTCCTCTTGGCGGTCTGGGGAAAGAGAACTTTAATAAAATATAAAAGTTGGAATACATATCCCGACATACCCAACAGCTCGCTTATGGTTTGCAAATGATTTTGCAGTTCTCTCTGATGCCTGGCCCTGACACCCATCCTATAGAGTATTACCATCCAACCGGAGAGTACAGCAAAAATCCCCAAAGTTGAGATCACAAAGATACCCGTGGCCGTTTTCAAATCCGGATACTGTTCAATTTTGGGAAAATAATAATTCGGTTTATGCGAATACCAACGACGATCGTTTTGCAAATGGGCCCAATCTTCTTCGCAGGTATCGGGTTCATCGCTGCCGTCGCCGCAATGATCGAAACCATCACAATGCAAACGAATCGATATACAGTGGTTGTTGTTGCACAGGAATTCCGACCCAATGTAGCAATCTAAATGGACATAGGGATCTGCATACAATGTTGCATATAGGCCAAACACAAACAATCCTAACTTAGGGGTTAAATACTTACTCAAATAATTGAAGACACTGTAGACTATGGCCAGTTTTGAGGACATGCCAAAGACCCCACGCAGGCGTATGTAATAACCCGTTAGGACGGGTACAACATGATTCTCTTTGGACATTCCGTTATTGGGCCACATCACATCCTCTATTTCCGGGGCATCGGAGGTGGTGCCCTGGCGTATGGTCAAATCGGAACGTGAGGCCATGCTGTGGAACTCATCGACACGCAACGAGATGTGGGTCTTCATCATAATGTAATTATTGCTGGGTTTAATGATCCAAATACAATCGAACATGCGCACATCGGTGGCATTTTCAATCATATTCATCATGGTAATGGCACCACCAGGTCCAGAAACCAAGCCACCACAATCTGACAGAGAAACACCTCAAAATTGGAAAATAATAAAAAAATCACTTCTCCCTCACTCACCAGTATACGGCATCAAACGATCTTCCTTTAGCTGACTGGGCGTTACAAACGTAACTTCGGCTCGAAATCCAGCACTGGCTACCCCGTTACCACGAAATTGCAATAACAACGATTTGCCCGTACTTATGATGATGGGCGGACGAAAATGTTCACCGGTGTATGAGTCCACCATTTGACCATTCGAATCGAATATTTCCATTGTCGATGTCAGACCCAATTGAAAATCGGTGAAATCCAAACGGACATGACAATTGTCCGAATCACATGTCAGTATGTACTCAGTACCATAATCTCGCGGATAATTCATGGGGAAATAGGGTGTGGATATTATCTGGGGTACATTGCTATTTGGATTATTCGAAAAGTCGGTTTGTCGCGGTATACCGCTAACGATTTTTACATTACCTGTGGAGAATAAACGGGTTAAATAGTTTAAAAGGGAAGAAATGTTATAAGGCATAATTAAATGTTAGGACGGTGGCTCTGGGATGTCCTAAAATGGTCAACAAAATTTAAATTTGAATGATCCGAACCCTGGTTTACTCAAACCGAAGTTGGACAAACAAGATAAGGTTATCTTAAAATTTAACCTTTATTTCTTTATTATTGGCGCCCAAGTGAAAACACTCTGCAAAAAAATATATATATATTGAAATATTGAGATTACCAAGTCTGAATGGAATCGAATGTTAATTTTGCGTTTTATGAGCTTAATGGATATTCAGAATGTAGACCCTTTGTGGGGGAGGTACCAGAAGCAGTGGACCGATATATCCCATTTTCACACCAGACCTTGGGCTAATAAACATATTGATGATGGAAAAGAATCAGATTCTTATTTCGGATGATGGAAAAGAATCAGATTCTTATTTCGGATTTTATGATCGTTTTGGTTTTTCAAAACTTCGACCCTTTGTGGGGGAGGTACCAGAAATAATGGACCGATCTCTATCATCTTTACAACAGATCTTGTGTTGAGATGCGCCAAGCCTGAATGGAATCGGATGTTAATTTCGTGTTTTATGATCTTCCTGGATATTCAAAATTTTGACCCTTTGTAGGGGAGATTCCAGAAAGAGTAGACCGATATATTCCATCTTCACACCAGACCTTGGGCTAACAAAAATATTGTTATGTGTGTAATTTAAAGACAATCGGACACTTACATTACATTTTATAAGAGTTATAATTATTAAAAATTTTGACCCTTTTTGGGGAGGTACTTTATAGAGTGGATCGATTGATGCAAATATTATGATTTGCAAAGTTGGAGCAAAATCGGATTAACATTTCTCTTTCCGTGCAACAAGATATTTTCTTTCATGGGGGAGATACCAAAAGGAGTAGACCGATATAGCCCATATCTTAACTAGATATAAGTTTGGCAATAATTTTACGATGTACCACATTTGGACCAAATCGGATACTCCCATCGAGAGTTATCGTGCGCAACAGCCAGCCAGGTAGACAGACAGATGGACGGTCGGACGGAAACCCATAGATCGACTCCAAATGTCCTTAAACGAATTTGGTCTAAATAGACCTAGGTTCTAAGCCCGCTATTTCGATGAGGCACGTTTTGGCCATATCAAATGACATATACCCTCGGTAGTCATAAGGCTGAGGGTATATTTAAACATTCATTTCTGGGTTGATGGCGCCCAAATGATTCAATAATTAAATCCAATTCGATAATTAAATGTCGAGAAGCAGTCTTGCAATACTATCAGACACCAAGGCAAAGTGGTTCAGAATCGTTTTTCCAGGACCAAAATTGAACATTTTATGCTCTGATGGTCCCTTGTGGTCTGGTGGTTTCTTTAAGACCTTTTTAAAATTCAGGTTTGTGGCTCAAAAAATATTCCTAAAAATTCTCCTGTTTGTGCCTCTTATGTTCCTGAAAAATATTCATTAAAAACCATTGCTCTGTTCCAGACCCTGCAAAAATCTACTAAAATCGGTTATCGTAGTAAAAACTTTTACAATCTTGCAGTTCTGGAACACGGCACATGTTTATACCTCTGATGTTCCTTCATTAAAATATTCTTAGAAACCCCAATTTTGGGACTTCGATGGTCCCAACAAATAAAATTTGGTCCCTCAGAAAATGTTCCTAAAAACCCCTTTTGTGCCACAATCTAAAATTCGTAAAAATTCAAGATTGAACGTTACAAAATATTTATAAAAATCCATGTTTGTACCTCCGATGTTACTTTAAAACAAATATTACTAACAAACACTCTTGGTGCCCCAATTTTCCCACAAAAATACTTAAAAAAACACGTTTATTCCTACAACGGGTCCCTCAGAAAATATTCGCCAATGGTCCCTGAAAAATTATTCCCAAAAATGCTCATTTGTGCCTCCGTTGCTGGTCCTCCAAAAATAATAATAATAAGAATCCATATCAGTGCCTCTGATGGTCTCTCAAAAATTGTTCTTAAAATCCTAATAAGTTTCTTTTGTCTCTGATAGTATTTTATAAAATATTCCAAAAATTTATGTATGTTGCTCTGTTGGGCCTTGAAAAAATATGTTTAAAGTCCACTTTGGTGCCTCTGATTATAAAAACAAAACCGACGATTGATCCTCTTTCTAATGGTCCTTTTGGAAATATTTCCAAAAATCCACAATTCTGATAGCCTTTGAAAGAAGATTTTTTAAAAAAATCCTCCTTTCCAATATTGCTTTTTAATATCTGTTGAAAATATTGATTTCAAGTCACAGTAAATATTTTTAATTTAATTTGGTCAAGTGCGAATGTTCTTCGAATCACGGAACAGTGAGACACAACAAAACGAGGCAAATAACAAAAAAGTGTAGGGCTTCCTGGATTATTGAAAATGCAATCGAAAATGGTTATTATAAAATCGAAATATATTCTTTTTTGATGCGAAAGAAAATTGTGTAACCGGGGTGCACTCTGGGATACGGCACCAGAATCACTTCGTTTCAGAAAACAATGGAGTTACAACCTCTACATTTCCAAATATCGCGTCCTCTTGGGGCTTTTTATATAAATTTTCTATTTTTAAATCACTGTCAAAGTCCTTTTTATTCTTTTCCACCACCAGGATAAAGATATACATATATCCGATTTTTTTTTAATTCCACCTAAAACTAGACACCTTTACTCACGTTCGGAAAAGTACTGCAACGAAAAGACATGACTATTGGTTGCCCGATAGAAAAACTTCAGCAACAGCGTTCGCGTTTTACTGCGAAACACTTTGCCCTCGCCGCAAAACTCTTGACCCGATATCGTATTGTCGTACGGAGGTTCCGAAAATTGTATGTGTTCACAGGGACACAGGGAGGACTTGCCCACGGCTGTGTTGGCGATGCGTTCACAGGTCTTGGAGAAATTGGCAAAGGTGACGGTGATGCGTATGACACATTCGGCACAGGTGACCAACTCCAGGTTGCATTGATACCAAAAATCCAAATTGGAACGGAGTTTCAAGGCATTGCTGGCGCCATTTAAATTGGTGTTGGCACCAGCCGTCGCCCCATTGGCCGAGGATGGAGAGGAAGTTGATGAGGCCGACGAATACAGGGTACTCTGGAAAATTTTGAAAAATTGTTTGATGTCGTTTTATAATCCAAATTGCAAACAAAAGCGTTTTGAAATATCCTACACGATATGCCGATGTGGTTACATTGCGCGCATGCAATTCGCCACGTTCGCCCAATTCCAGGAAATGTCGACGACCATTCCAGTGATTGCATATATCCAAATCCTTGTAGGTATTCGAAGGATATGCCGCCACAACCGAGGATAGCAGACATACGAAGACGACCGCAATATTCACATAGGTCCGTTTCAGAACGACAAAGATATTTAGATTCTTTAAACCCGTATTGGATAACATATCCTAAGCCGCGGGGAGGATATGAACGCGTGTGTGTGTTTTTAAATTGAAATAGAGTATTTTAAATTTTATTTTTAACGTAAAAACTTAACCAAAAAACGAAGTTTAATAAACTTATGTAAGGTGCGTAGACAAAGAACGAGAGCGAAGGATGGGTGTAGAAAAAATAAAAACGTTTTATTTTAAATTTCCAACCGTTTGCTTAATGCATGTTGTCTGCTGGTAAGTTATGTTTAGACTGCAGCCAGCTCTGGGCGAAAATTTAATAAGGGCCATTCTCCATGATTTTGTTGGTTCCCCACGCTTTTCATTGGGATTTTGTTTTTGTTTTCGCAACAAATTTCTACCAACAAATTGTTTTGTAGGCGCGTTGTTAAATATAGTTAACAATTCTTGCAGTCAGGAAAACAAAAAAGAACATTGAAGAAACCATAGAAGTGTATTTTATGTTTGCTTCCGAAAGGGACCCATGGACATGGGTTTACAAAAATACAGAATTTGATAGCCCACAAAAACAGAAATAATTTTTTTTATTCTAAATTTTAGATAAAAAAAATAATTTTTAATTATAAAATATATTTTTTTATTTTTTTAATTTTAAAAAATATTTTTTGATTATAAAAAATACATATAAATACTATTGTTTATTATAAAAACAATCAACATTTGTAGATTTTACAAAAACAATATTTTTAAAAATATCCACGTTTGTAAATTTTATTAAAAAATATCCACGTTTTGTAAATTTTATTAAAAAAGTATTTTTAAAAATATCCACGTTTGTAGATTTTATTAATTTTTTTTTAAATATTCGTGTTTTGTACATTTTATTAAAAAAATCCACGTTTGTGGATTTTATTAAAAAAGGAATTTAAAAAAATCCACGTCTGTGGATTTTATTGAAAAAGTAATTAAAAAAAAACCTCGTTTGTGGATTTTATTAAAAGAGTAATTGTAAAAAAATCGCGTTTGTGGATTTTATTAATAAAGAAATTTAAAAAAATCCACGTTCGTGGATTTTATTAAAAGTATTTTTGAAAAAATCCACTTTTGTGGATTTTATTAAAAGTATTTTTAAAAAATCCACGTTTGCAGATTTTATAAAAAAGTATTTTGTTGTTGCAAAATCGTCAGGCAAAATCTCATTATTGTTGTTTTTATAAAAACAACGTTTGTTTATGAGTGGAGAACGATGGTAATGTTTACCAGGTTGAACGAAAGCATAACAAGTGGAGAAAAATGTAAATGTTTATAAGTGCGGTTGTAAGATTTAGAAGATTTTCCAAAAGAATTTTAGTTTTATGTAATTCTTTTGTTCCTCTTCTATTGAGCTTACGATCTCGTCACTTGGGTAAAAAAATGTTTTTTGTCATAGAAGTTATTTTTTAAAATAACTTCTGGGGAGAATATCCCAGACAAGAAACAAGGGAACTGATGAGGATTGGTGGCTCTTTCCGAAACCTAGGTATTCCCTGCCTTACCCCCTGGTAAACATTACCATCGTTCTCCACTCATAAAGAAACGTTGTTTTTATAAAAACAACAATAATGGGATTTTGCCTGACGATTTTGCAACAACAAAATACTATGGTATCCCAAACAAGCAAGCCAAACACTGTTCTAAAAAAGTATTTTTAAAAAAATCCACGTTTGTGGATTTTATTAAAAAAGTAATTTAAAAAAAATCCACGTCTGTGGATTTTATTAAAAAGTAATTTTAAAAAAATCCTCGTTTGTGGATTTTATTAATAAATAAAATTAAAAAAAATCCACGTTTGTGGATTTTATTAATAAATAAAATTAAAAAAATCCACGTTTGTGGATTTTATTAATAAAAAAATTGGAAAAATCCACGTTTGTGGATTCTATTAAAAGTATTTTTAAAAAAATCCACGTTTGTAGATTTTATTAAAAAAAGTATTTTTAAAAAATCCACGTTTGTAGATTTTATTAAAAAAGTATTTTTAAAAAATCTACGTATGTGGATTTTGTTAAAAAAATATTCACATTTGTGGATTTTATGAAAAAAGGTGTTTTAAAAAAAAATTAAATCCACGTTTGTGGATTTTTTAAAAAAAAAATCCCGTTTGTGAATTTTATTAACAAAGAAATTTTAAAAAAATCCACGTTTGTAGATTTTATTAAAAAGGAATTTTTAAAAAAATCCACATTTGTGGATTTTATTAAAAAAGTATTTTTAAAAAAATCCACATTTGTGGATTTTATTAAAAAAGTATTTTTAAAACAATCCACATTTGTGGATTTTATTAAAAAATTATTTTTAAAAAGTCCACGTTTGTGGATTTTATTAAAAAAGTATTTTTAAAAAAATCCACGTTTGTAGATTTTATTAAAAAAGTATTTTTAAAAAAAATCCACATATGTGGATTTTATTAAAAAAGTATTTTTAAAAAGTCCACGTTTGTCGATTTTATTGAAAAAGTATTTTTAAAAAAATTCACGTTTGTAGATTTTATTAAAAAAGTATTTTTAAAAAAAATTCACATTTGTGGATTTTATTAAAAAAGTATTTTTAAAAAATCCACGTTTGTGGATTTTATTAAAAAAGTATTTTTAAAAAAATCCACGTTTGTGGATTTTATTAAAAAAGTATTTTTAAAAAATCCATGTTTGTGGATTTTATTAAAAAAATATTTTTAGAAAATCCACGTTTGTGGATTTTATTAAAAAAATATTTTTAAAATATCCACGTTTGTAAATTTTGTTAAGAAAGTATTTTTAAAAAAAATATTCACATTTGTGGATTTTATGAAAAAAGGTGTTTGAAAAAAAATTAAATCCACGTTTGTGAATTTTTTAAAAAAATCCCATTTGTGGATTTTATTAATAAAGAAATTTTAAAAAATCCACGTTTGTGGATTTTATTAAAAAAGTATTTTTAAAAAAATCCACATTTGTGGATTTTATTAAAAAAGTATTTTTAAAAAATCCACGCTTGTGGATTTGATTAAAAAATAATTTAAAAAAAATCCACGTTTGTGGATTTGATTAAAAAATAATTTAAAAAATCCACGTTTGTGGATTTGATTAAGAAATAATTTTAAAAAAATCCACGTTTGTGGATTTGATTAAAAATTAATTTAAAAAAATCCACGTTTGTGGATTGATTAAAAAATATTTTTAAAAAATCCACGGTTGTGGATTTGAATAAAAAATTACTTTAAAAAATCCACTTTTGTGGGTTTTATTAAAAAAAAATAAAAATTTATATATATCATTGAAAAATCATTGAAAAATAATATTATTAAAAAACTATTTTTAAAAAATACACGTTTGTGGATTTTATCAAAAAATATTTTTAAAAAATCCATGTTTGTGGATTTTATTAAAAAATATTTTTAAAACATCCATGTTTGCGGATTTTATTAAAAAAATATTTTTAAAAATCCACGTTTGTGGATTTTATAAAAGAAACATTTAATTAAAAATCCACCTTTGTGTATTTTATAGAAGAAATATATAATTAAAAAACTCCACGTTTGTGGATTTTATAAAAGAAATATTTAATTAAAAAAATCCACGTTTGTGGATTTTATAAAAGAAATATTTAATTAAAAAAATTCACGTTTGTGGATTTTATAAAAGAAATATTTAATTAAAAAAAATCCACGTTTGTGGATTTGATTAAAAATAATTTTAAAAAATCCACGTTTGTGGATTTGATTAAAAATAATTTAAAAAAATCCACGTTTGTGGATTTGGTTAAAATATAATTTAAAAAATCCACGTTTGTGGATTTGTTTAAAAAATAATTTAAAAAAAACCACGTTTGTGGATTGATTAAAAAATATTTTTAAAAAATCCACGTTTGTGGATTTTAATTAAAAAATATTTTTAAAAAATCGACGTTTGTGGATTTTAATTAAAAAATATTTTTAACAAATCTACGTATGTGGATCTGTAAAAAATTCCCGTTAGTGGATTTTATTAAAAAAAAGGATTTTTACATGATCCACGTTTTTGGATTTTATTAAAAAAATATTTAAAAAAATCCACGTGAGTGGATTTTATTAAAAAAATATTTTCAAAATATCCATGTTGGTGAATTTTTATTAAAAAAAGAAATATTTAATTAAAAAAATTCACGTTTGTGGATTTTATAAAAGAAATATTTAATTAAAAAAAATCCACGTTTGTGGATTTGATTAAAAATAATTTTAAAAAATCCACGTTTGTGGATTTGATTAAAAATAATTTAAAAAAATCCACGTTTGTGGATTTGATTAAAAATAATTTAAAAAAATCCACGTTTGTGGATTTGGTTAAAATATAATTTAAAAAATCCACGTTTGTGGATTTGTTTAAAAAATAATTTAAAAAAAACCACGTTTGTGGATTGATTAAAAAATATTTTTAAAAAATCCACGTTTGTGGATTTTAATTAAAAAATATTTTTAAAAAATCGACGTTTGTGGATTTTAATTAAAAAATATTTTTAACAAATCTACGTATGTGGATCTGTAAAAAATTCCCGTTAGTGGATTTTATTAAAAAAAAGGATTTTTACATGATCCACGTTTTTGGATTTTATTAAAAAAATATTTAAAAAAATCCACGTGAGTGGATTTTATTAAAAAAATATTTTCAAAATATCCATGTTGGTGAATTTTTATTAAAAAAATATTTAGAAAAAAATTAAATTTAATGAATTTCAAAAAATATTTTCAAAATTTCCTAAAACACTGTACACTTCAGCCTATTGAATAATTCTTACGTTACGCACAGGTGCCTGAGTGGTAATCCACCAGAAGTCTACTGGTCATACATGTGTCAAAACAAGAATGTTTTCATTTTCCATTGAAGGGGGCAGAAAATAAAACAAAACATTCAAATAACTTACATGCATACATTCTAGCTGCAACGCTTTTTGCGACAAAAATCACACAAACACCCCCGAGAGGGGGAACGGTGGGCGAACTACACTTTCATTTCACCCACAATAATTGGTTGCATTGGCTGATGGTCAGGTTAAAGACCTTTAATATTTAAATTTTACCAAAAACGAAAAGTACAACTACAGAAGAATGCAACAACGACGGAGGTGAGGGAATGGTGGTGTAGGATCGTTGCAAAATTTAAGTACTCAAGCGTTGGCGGTACTAAACAAAAGATGATTGAAGCAACTGGGTCGGACACAGACATTGAATTCGAAAGATATTCGTTGTTTCTTTGTTGTTCCTTTCAATCACCTTGAAATTGGATTACGTCGATTGGCGGAATATTGAGAAGAAAATACAAAGAAATAGAAAAATATATGTATTCGTGAAAGGTTATACGGATTACTTTGGCTAGCATGTTTCTTGATTAAGCCTATTTTAAATGTACATATACATCCTCCTGCTAATCTATTGTTGTGACTGACTGGGTCAGCACGTGCCAATGAACTTGATTTTATTGACAGTCGTCTCAAGTGGATTTAATTTTAAATGCAGATGGGATTCACAACATCAGGACAGTATAGAATGATTACAATAAATCTTGGGTTACAGACTCTGGGAGCAACGTAGTCACATTTTATGGTTTATGTTTATAATTTCTACTGTCGTGTGGGGGACTACGATAAATTCGAAATCTTTCCTAAGGAGCAAGGACAAAAACAGATCTCCAATTAATGATATAACTTTTAGAATTGATAAATGGTCTTTTAGCTGTCAGGAAATGAACATCCAGTACTTCCTGTGATGTCTTTCTTCTTTAGTTTTTAAGAAAACAGTGATTTCCTAAAATTTCCTCTCACACAGATATATATGATTAAAAACATTTTTGAATTTTTTTTTCTGTTAAAGGTATAAAAATGAATTTCATTTTATTATAGTAAATAGTTTTATAAATTTTCGTTTTACATTGGTCACGTTTTTCAAACGCCAATATGGTGTTGTATAAAACTCTTTCATGTTACAGTCAGTACACGCACACACAAAAAAACAAAACGAAAATAAAATGCAAAGATGTGGAGGAGGGACACAAATTGTTTGCGGTCATTATTTAAAAAAATATATTAAATTATGGGACACCATATAAACTAAATCTAAAGATGAGACTTATTATCTCCGCTAGCTAGTCAGGCGAGGGCTTTCTTCAAGTTTTCGGCCAATTTGTCCATGAATTCAAAGGTTTCCATGTAGTCGCTGCGGGTAACATTGTTCATGCCCTTAATGCAAATGGCCAAATCCTTGGTCATGAAACCGGATTCGATGGTATCGATGCAGACCTTTTCCAAGGTTTCGGCGAATTTCTGCAATTCGGCGTTGTTGTCCAACTTGGCACGGTGCAACAGACCACGAGTCCAGGCAAAGATAGAGGCAATGGGATTGGTGGAGGTTTCCTTGCCTTGTTGGTGCATGCGGTAATGGCGGGTAACGGTGCCGTGGGCAGCTTCCGATTCAACGGTCTTGCCATCGGGGCAGAGCAATACTGAGGTCATAAGACCCAAAGAACCATAACCTTGGGCAACGGAATCCGATTGGACATCACCGTCGTAGTTCTTGCAGGCCCAGACGAATCCACCTTCGGATTTCATGGCATAGGCAACCATATCATCGATCAAACGATGTTCATACCAGATACCGGCAGCCTCGTAGTCCTTCTTGTATTCCTTGTTGTAGATTTCCTCAAAGATATCCTTGAAGCGACCATCATATTTCTTCAAGATGGTGTTCTTGGTGCTCAAGTACAAAGGCATTTTACGGGCCAAGGCGAATTTGAACGAGGAATGGGCAAAGTCAACAATGGAGGCATCTGTGTTGAACATACCCATGGCAACACCAGCACCCTTATAGTCATGGACTTCATATTTGACAGGCTCGCCACCATCGGCAGGGGTGAAGGTCATGGTCAAGGTACCGGCACCAGGGACAACGAAATCAGTTGCCTTATATTGATCAGCATGAGCATGACGACCAATAACAATGGGCTTATCCCAACCACTGACCAAGCGAGGAATGTTCTTGCAGATAATAGCTTCACGGAACACAGTACCACCCAAAATGTTACGAATGGTGCCGTTGGGACTCTTCCACATCTTCTTCAGATTGAATTCTTCGACGCGTTTCTCGTCAGGAGTAATGGTGGCGCACTTAATGCCAACATTGTATTTCTTGATGGCTTCGGCACAATCGATGGTAACTTGATCGTCGGTCTTGTCACGATGTTCCATACCCAAGTCATAGGTGTGCAATTCAATGTCCAAGAAGGGCAAAATCAACTTGTCCTTGATCGAGGACCAAATAATGCGGGTCATTTCATCACCCAAAATGTCAACGACGGGACCAGCTTTAATTTTAGTTGCCATCTGAAAGTAGGTGAAGAAGAAAATTGAAAAATTAATAAATTTATTTCAATGTGAAAGAAAAAAGACAAATGAAAGTAAAATAAAAATATTATGAGTTTTTTTTTTTAAGAGAAAGGTGTCGTCAAGGTAGAATATATCCAAAAAACATTACAGTGACCTAATTGAGATGAAAGGACATCTTGAGACCCTCTTCTAGGTGTCTTGTACAGATAGGAAATCTTCCGGAGGTCTTCTACAGATAGAAGGTCTTTCAAAGTCTTCTAAAAAGGCTCTTAAAAGGTCTATAAAAAATAAAATAATAGCTTTTAGTGGAATTCAGAAGACCGAAATCCTTCTAAAATATAGAAGACCTACCAGCACTCTTCTCTGAATGTAAGACACGGTCTTCTTTTTAGATGGAAGGTCTTACATGTGTTCTCCACCGATGCCTTCCTGAGATCTTCCATAGAATCAAGAACTTCCAGAGGTTTTTTTAGAAGACCTCTCGAAAAAATAAATGTGGAAGGTCTTCTATTCGTTAAAGATCTGTGAAAGGCCTTCGACCATAAAATATATGCTGTGGGACTTCTATTGAAAGATGGCAGTACAAAGTCTTCCATTCACAGAAATTCTGCGTAACGTCTCCTATTAATGGATGACCCGTGGAAGATTTTCTATCCATAGAAGTCTGTGGAAAGACTTCTATCCATAAAAAACCTGTACAAGAAATGCCATTTATAGGTCTTCTACCCATAGGCCGCCTGTGGCACTTCAGAAAGCCTCCTCTCTATAATGGAAATCTGGTCCCCAATTATCAAACACTTTGCCAATACCCCTCGCATTTTTGCCATATGTTTTTAAAACTTGCAAATTTCTTTGCTCTTCAAGTTTTTGTTTTTTTTTTTTTTGATCATATGTTGTTGTTATTTTTGTGTGTTTTTTCAATTATTTCGCCTCTCTCTCTCTATCTTACCCCAGCATAAGCCATCATGAAAGCGGTTTTTTGAACTGAAGACCTCAACAAGGTTGGGGCAGAGTACAAACAGCGTGTGGCCAAACGTAAAGAGAACATTTCGGTGGTGGTGGAGCAGGTATTTTTGTATAAATTTGAATTTAAATTTTACACTTATTTGCTATTCTTAAATAATTTCGAATAAAAATCTGAACACGTTCGAATGTTAACACTTAAAGAAAGACTGATACGATGAGTGGATGGACAAAATGGACTTGTGTACTTTTGAACGAATCTCAACGATTGGAGAGGTTATGCAATGTTTCGTTTATTTTTTTGTTATTTCCACAAAACAAATCTCTCTTTTTTGAATGATAACAGAAAATCGTTGGGGAATATAAAAACTGATAAGATTTCACAGAAACATTTGTAAATTACTATTCATGAAAGTATATTTTTTGTATTATCTACTCGTAAAATGTTCTAAAGCACCACACAAACACAATCCACTCGACACAACTGATATGAAGAAAAAAGGAAAACAAAACACGAATACGATTGACGTTCGCTACCGCCGGCAACCTAACCCGGTACTTTATCAGTTGACCAACACACTACGTAATGATGAATGCTGAGCAAAAATGTTTTTGCTTCGTTTCTCAATTGCATTTCTGTTTTGTCGAAAGGGGACTTTTAAGAGAGAGACTTTTAATTATGCGGCATTTTTGCCACATCATTGTGTTTTTCTCTTTGTGGGGAATTTCTCTTCTTAGAAGGGAGAAATGATGATAATTGCATGGGTGAATAAAGAGATTTTTTATTGCAAAATATGAGGGCATTAATAAAATTATAGAAACTTTTAAAATTTGAAAATCAATATTAGTTAAAAATGTGCAATTGAAACCAAGGGCAAACCTCTTAGGACCTTAAACTTTTCTTTTGTTGGAGAAAAGAATGATAAATCATAGGGTTCAAATGAAATTGTCACAAGTGATGGCGTTTTGTTGAGTGTAAAGAAGTGTCAATTTTATTACGAATTGTCAGTGACATTTATTCAATTTGTGGGCCGCCATAACAACCGATGGTTGCTCTCCGCTCATATTAATCGACCGTGGCATCAGAATAAATGCGAAAATATTCTGGAGGGTTTATAATAATGAATAATACAATCCGACTAGCAAAAACTAATTTCTCACAATGTTTGCATCATTACCTTGGGGCTTAGATCTTTCATTGAATTGGTTCTAAGCCTCATAGGAACAAATACACAATAATCAGAATACTTCATAACGTCACAACAATTCCTCTATGACGCCTTAAAATATTTTGCAATATCTCTGTCCGACGCTGTTTAAAAATTCAACAGGTTTTATCAGCATTTCACTGCATCTTAGCAACATTAAATTATTTTTATTAATACTAAAATTAATATTATCAAAAAATGCGCAATGCTTTGGTATTATTATTATAAATATAAACAATTAATAGATTTGCAGGGAAAAATTATAATTGTCAACCGATAACCTTAAAAAACGTGCAATCAACTAAGTTTTTTTTTATTACAATTGGATTTGTTCTGAGACTAGAAATACATATTACTTTACACTTTTAATGTAGGTCAGTAATACTATTTATTATACATATAGGTATAACAATACAATTGGTGACACACCTAGCGTTCTCCATTGGATTTTAGTTTGTTTTAAAAACAAATACATTGTGTAATGTTAGTTTAAAGAAAAAATATTTTTCTCTTCTTGGAATAGTGAAAATTTTCGAAAATGGTTGTTTTTTGCAACCATTTATTGAAGAACAATCCTAACTTTACACATTTTCAATGAAAATTACATTATATTCCAAATACCAAAAGTAAATACGTAAAAGCTCGACAAAATCGGAAAAGCTTGCCTCAATTAACCCACCACACTATGACTAACAAGAACGTAACATTTCTGAGTTTTAGTTTTGTCTAAGGTGAACAAATAAGTCAGCATTTTTAACCGTAATCTCTAGGCAGCCCTCTAATATTTATCCAATTAAGGCGAAGAGAATTTATGCAACGAAATTCTCCAATTATTTTCTTTTCATGGTCCCCACAAAACTCTCAACATTGTTGCTCCCAAAAGTATTTTTTTTTTTGCAATGTAATCTTCTAACCCTCTCGTTGTTTTTGTTGTTTGCTTTTATAAAACAAAATAACATCACGCCAGCCGGTTTTTTTTTGTTTGCCTTAGTTTTATTTATCCTAATTTTTTTCATTTCTAACTTTCTACATACAAATACAAGACTTGTTGTTGTTTTTGCCCCCTTTTATTTGTGTTTGTTAAACAATCGAAGCAACAAATCGTAAAGTGTGTTAACACACTCACACAATCATATAAACCATTTATAGTTTGATATTTTGGTATGTGTGAACAGAGTGTCACTAACAACTACTCTACTCTATTGATTAAATTGTGGAAAAATTTTGGCACGAAGAAGAGAGCAGAGGAGATAAAAAGTGCGTCCACGACTCACGACAGACATAACACACATCGTACGACGGCAAACGCGTACGATGACATTGACACAATGCCGGGCCGGGCGGAGGTTATGCAAAGTAAGTAGTTGTTGCTTTTTAGTTTGGGGTTTGGCAAATCAATTATTTATGCCCAAGAGATAAGAGAGAGTAGAGTTGTTGTTGTTGGGGGGAAGATACATAGAAATGGCGCGTTACAAAAAAGAATTGTGGGTTGTAGTAGGTGAACAAAGAAGAAAATCAGCTGATGTTTTACTTTTGTTAGAACAAGTGGACACGTTTGAAATCCAAATTAGAAAATAATAAGGTATTTTTTTTATTTATTTATGCAAATTAATAAATGGGTGTGTGATAGATAGTTATAAAGAATAAATTTAAGCTGTCCAATTAGGAGAATATGGAAAAACATAAGTACATTTTAAAAACTAATCTTAAGAATTTTAAAATAGTCTTTCGAGAGACTGGAATACTTTTGAAGAATTTTTGGATTTTAGTAGAAATTTGGAGAGTTAAAATTGTGAACAAGCTCAGGCTGATGTTTGATCAAAAGTTATTAATTGAAAGGGTTTGTAATCTTGATTTTTTTAAAATGAATTTTCAAACAATATCTAATTTTTTATGTTTTGGTCAAAATGGGGATATTGAGTCTCCTTGTGTTACTTTTATAAAGGCATATTATATTCTTGTTCATTCAACATGACAATGTATTTCTGAGTTTAACAAATTTTTTTTCAAGAATCAAATTCAGATAACATCGCCGGACTGATGATAATTTCTTTTGCAGATTAGAAGACTTGACAACAACAATAGCAATTGTGGTGTGATACGATCGATGAATCTGACCATAATTTGTTTTTGTTGTATTTTTTTAAACACGATTTTTTGAGTCTAGACATTTATAATTAATTAATTAATTCTGATTTTTGTTCGGATTTTTTTTTTTGGTTATTTTTAAAACTCAGTACAAAGTGCATTTTATTTGGAATACAATTGTATTGAATTAATATATTTTAAGAAATAAATGAAGAAATGCTAAATTAGGAACTGAGTTTTTGGAATATTGAAATGGATAAAATAGAGGACGCAATATAATTTTCAAAAAAAAAAAAAAAAAAAAAAATTAATAATAAATAAATAAAAAAAAATAAATAAAATAAATGTTTAATAGATATTAAAAGTCGGGTGGGCCGACTATATGATACTCTAGACCACTATACCTATTGAGTAGAGCTTCCGCAACAAAAAAAAAAAAAAAAAAAAATATGGGATATTATGTGAAGTAGTCATACCAACTGTGGACCAAATAAGATTGCTGTATATGGCTTTGATAAGGATTATATTAAAAATATTTACTAGAGCCATAGATATACCGGATCGAATTTCACCAAAAGGTAAAATTCGTTTGAATATGAAAAAATCTATTTAATTTGGGCTGATATTACATACATGCTGAGCAATAATCGTATCGTATCGAATGAGGATGTATATCTCGATAAAATTTTCGAGCAGTATCTGATGCCCGGTGTCAAATATCATTGTTGTATTCATTTATATGGGAGCTATAGCCATATCTGAACAGATTTTCACCAAATTTGAAGTACTTGTTTCTAGGCTGCATTCCATCGGAAATGCCAAAATTCAGTCCATTTGGGATGTTATTAGCCATTTGTTGCACAAAAAAAAAAAAAAAAAACTGAAATCTGATAAAGATATATGTGGAACCTATATCCAAATCTGAGACGATCTTGATAACATTTGGCAGAGGTATTTCTGTTCTGTATCAGATACCTGGTACCAAATATCATTCTTGTGGGGTGCATATTACGAATGTAAGGGACTTAAACACTAAATCGGATGAAAAATATGTATGTGAGCTATAGCTATATCTGATCCGATTTTCACCAAATTTGATGTACTTGATTCTAGACTAAATTCGGTCGGATGTGCCAAAATTTAAGTCATTTGGACTGATATTGGCCACAATTAACCCGAAATTGGTTGAAGATATATATGGAAGCTATATTTAAATTTGAACCGATTCTCACCAATTTCGTCCCTGGACCAAACAAATATTGTTTAAAAATTTCATCTGAAACGGACAATAAATGAGATCCGAATTTTGTTCACAAAAAATACATGGACAGACGGACGGACAGTCGTCGAGGATTTCGACCACATTTTTCTGTCCTAACATTTATTTCAAAATTCAGTTCTTTTCTTCTTTTGAATACTCTTACTGATAACTCATGGATTTTTAACCAAATTCTTCAAGATTTTTTACCTCTTCCCAAAGATTCCTTCCACCTCCTTCCAGAAAACATTTCTCTCTTTACTCTTACCACTCTTACTTTTGCCCATATTCTTAAAATTTGCCTCCTACACACTCATTCCAAAACTACCAACATTTGCAAGGTATTTAACCACATCATTTGTAATTATTATTTAATATTTAAACTGCTCTGTTTAAAATCTCAAATTCCAAAATAAATAAAAACAAAAAGTAATTCGAACCTCTAATTGCGGTGATATCTCTAGCAAACAATTGTGAACATTCCGAGGTTCGTATCGAATTTAACAAATAAATTGCAAATCATTGTGTTCATGTTTGTTTGCTTTCCAACACATGTAGAATTATTTAGAAACTTTGTAGAATGATACAAACAAATATTAGAACACCAATACTAACACATTGCGATTAGTATTCAAATTGTAAAATAAAGCAAAAAATTAATTATACCCTATATACTTTGCGTTTTTTTGTTTATCGAATAATAACGAGCAAGTGCGAATGAGATAAGATGGAAGAAGGTGTAGAAATTTCAAATAAGTTATACTTGAAGTGGCCAACCTCGTTTTTTAACCCCTGGTTCCGTCCTCCAGTCGGCACTTGTTGCAGCAGACATTTAAGGCTATGGAAATTAATAATGTTTAAATAATCGAAATGAATATTTATAGCCACTTTTGCAATGAAAAACATTTGTTTTATTTAAAACTTCATTATGCATGTATGCAAGAAGAGTGGAATAATTTGGTAATCCAATGAAATACAAAAGAAAGAAAGCCCAAAAACAAAAA